AGAGACAAATTATGTGTTTTATACAACGGTTGCCAGCGCTACTTAGGCCTATAATGGCGAAGAATGAGTGCATTGAAGTACTCAAGTAACAGAAGAATTGCGAAGAGGATATGAAGAAATTTTCGAGGAGAGAGAGAGAGACATGTCTTAAAAATCAAGCTTCAAGACCTCTAATATTTCATAAGAATTATCACTGCATCCTTCCCCTTGTTCCTTACCACAGAACCATAGGTCCCAAACCCCCCCCCCCCTTTTTAGCCTCACCCTTAACCACCCCATTAGCCTGCCTTACGACCCTACACAAGCCTGGACGACCCTCTTGAATAGGGTCGGACGACCCTATTCGGACGACCAAGCCTGGACGTCAGCTTTCTTCCAACGCCTCTTTCCAACTCTTTGGTATTTCTCTACGCCTGTCCTGCCCTCTTGCTAACATAATGAAGGACGTCACACTAGACGACATCAAGGGGCAGCGCCCCTCAAGTAAGCTGCCACACTTCCTCCACGGCGACACGGTGAGATGTTTTCCTCTACTTCCTTGTCATTATCTGATAACCAAAACACACATTACTTGTGTAAAGGAAGAAATGTATATGTTTATCTCTCAGAATGTTTGGTAATATGTTTATTGTGTGTGATGTGTATGTCTATATATGTATTAACACGTTGTACTGAACGGGGTGAGAATAGTTTGAGCTACCTCATCCCTTTGTGTGTATTTGACCTCAATAAACTTATTTCAATTTCAATTTCAAAACACACATTAGAAGATGGAGAGAAACGGCGACGTTTCGGTCGGGTCCCGGACCATTATCAGGTCGTGTGTGTGGGTGGAGAGATGAGCCTTTTCGGTCCAAGACGGACCGAAACGTTCTCGTTGTTTCTTTCATTTTTTTCTGGTGTGTGGTTTGGTTATCATGACTTGAGACGCGTTGTTGTGATTCGTTATCATTTGTCAGTTAATGATCTTACTATTTCATAACTACGAATACCTGTTATCTTACTATTCCACAACTACGAACACCTGTTATCTTACCATTCCACAACTACGAACACCTGTTATCTTACCATTCCACAACTACGAACACCTGTTATCTTACCATTCCACAACTACGAACACCTGTTATCTTACCATTCCATCACAAGATTATTGGAGGAAAAATGTATTTATCAAGCAAGGGGGAAATGCTTTTCAAATCAATTGTAGTTCATGTGGAATAGTTAGCGTGATGGAGTGAAGTAAACTAGTGCTGCAGGAACATGTATACCCGGGATTGGATATTTGGTTTACATCGAATCCGCTGATTGGAATCATTCGCGCCGCAATAGGCCTTATGGTGTTTGCACCATACTGCCTTCTCTTGTACCCTTTGGTTTACCATCTAAAAGTAAACTAACGTATACTCTCGGAGTATACATACTGAGAAGCAGTATACACATCCCGGTGAATATATATCCTTCGCCACACTCTATGTATTAAAATTCAAAATTAAATATAGAATCAAAATAATAAAATACAATATTAACACTAGCAGAGTATGCTGGTGTATGGAAAAATTTATTTAATATTTATTTATTTACCTTAAGAAATGTCATAGGACGAAAATCCATCAAATAAGTCAATATTTAGTGACTTCCGTCACCTCTCTCTCGAAGGATTAAGAAAATATTTAAGTTGGCGCTTAAATTACAGTGGTTTTCTTTCGACCCGAAACTCAGTCAAATGTTGAGTGTTGCGTCCTAAGACTTTATTACGTCGGTGGTGATGGCGTTAGGAAATAAACGTATATTAATTGCAAGGTAACTGCATGAATGCAGAAATAGATTTTATGTTTTCGCTAAACCATAGCTGTCATGTATGTGTGCATGTGTGTGTGTGTGTGTGCGCGTGTGTGTGCGCGTGTGAGTGAATAAGTGAGTGAGTGTGCGTGCTTGCGTGCGCACTTACCTATTGGTGCATACCTATTTGTGCTTACGGGAAGACGAGGTCTAGGTCTCTGTGTCCCTCTTACTTGCCCTGTTGTACTGTTGTTCCTGTTGTGTTATAATTCAACTTTTAGCGTTCGAATTCTTCGTCTATTCTGGCCTTAAAGTTGAGGCCGGCGGTGGCTTCTACAACTTCTTCCTGAACAATTTCTCAACTACATTGTGCTTTATTTCAAGAGAGAACAAATGCGTTGTTCTTCTTTGTTCAGTTGTCCCAAATAACAGTTAATCAGGATTGTTTTCTTATGAAGGTTACTCAGGTTACTCGCTTTGGGAAATAGTTGGACCAATCAGAAGTGAGGTTAAAGTATATATTTTACTTGGCTATTTTCCTGATGGACGCTTATGAGATAATATTTCCTTTTTCAGCTTTAAGGGTAAATAATAAGCTAAATAACAGTGTTTCAGTCCTGACCACAACAGCTACGTTGATCATGGCACACTACAACCTGAACCAACTACCACTACAACCACCATCACCACCACTACAATCACTACTACCACCACTATCACCTTGATTGCCTGCCTCCAACACTACTTCGTCACCATCACTACTCCACCACCACAACCACAAGCACAACCAACATCACAACCACTACTACCACCACCACCTTACCCACTAACACAACTACCACCACAAACGAGAATTAACTGGTTAATAGTTAACAAGAGGCCTAATAGACCTTCACACTAATTATAGACCCCCCCATAAATTTTCCAACCCTCCCCTCTCCCCTTAAAAAACTCTGCACGGCAATGAAAATTGTAAACCCTTAATATCCCCCAAAATTTACAATATTCAGAACAGTATTATCTTACAATAGATGGGACGAGAATGATTACTGAGAAATATTGATAGACTAATTGTTCATAATGAGATATGTTGCAAGAAATGAACCTTTTATGAGAATTAATACTATGAGAATAATTTATGAGAAGGAAATGTGCATGATTAATATGAGATGAACTGATGCACAAATAACTTGTCTTGAAAACTGTTTGCGAAAGAAATAATTAGTTTGAATAATTAATGAGAGAATAATACGTAAATGACTGGTTGGGGCAGAAGTACACACACAACGATAATTACCACACGTATAATATTTTTTTGAACAGGAATAACGACCGGGTTGAGAACAAACAGGGTCGGAGAGGTAAAATATATAAACTATCAAGCACGGGGTTGCTTGAGGATCTTGTGTCTAGTAAAGTGGTATTAGTGGAAGGGTGATAAACTATGACCATCGTTCGTAGCCTGTTTTGGCTTCCACAAAGTTTGCTATCAGTGCATCCCACTTGTTGACCACCCATTGAGAGTACGAATATGTCCTGAAAGCTCTTCGAGCACATCGTTAGTAACCACACCATCACCAACCACACCACTGACGACCACAGACCTCTCAACCATCGCCACAGTCAGTCCGAATCGTGAATAATTGAAACCTACTTTTACGAGGTACTAAACACACTCTCTACCTCGCTCGCACGGCTCACAACTGACTACATGTTCGCCTGGTAAAACATTTTATTATATATATATATATATATATATATATATATATATATATATATATATATATATATATATATATATATATATATATATATATGCGGAATATCCACAGAGAAATGTGTAAGGAAGTTAACGTTTCGGCCTGATTAAAGCCGTTGTCAACACCAGACTGACTGACATGTCAGTCTGGTGTTGACAACGGCTTTAACAAGCCGAAACGTTCACCTCATTTCATATTTCTCTGTGGATTTTCCGCATATATATATATATATATATATATATATATATATATATATATATATATATATATATATATATATATATATATTATGTGTGTGTGTGTGTGTCAGTTTCAAAGTTCACTTGACAGGTTTAATTATGGCCTGACGCTAAGAGATGCGTTTCGTTGACCCTTGTCAACATTTTCAAAGGCTCAAGTGGTTACAATTTTACAGCAGCCGGATGTATAACTATGGGTGAGGTGAAGCACCTATCCCTATAGGTCAATATAGGTCCACACAGCAGCTTACCCCTCTGGAAGGGGTAAGGCTTGAAGGCACAGTGTTGTCCTGCCTATATATTGAGAGCGTAAATGGATCTTGTTGTCCTGCCTATATATTGATAGCGTAAATGGATCTTGTTGTCCTGCCTATATATTGATAGCGTAAAGGGATCTTGTTGTCCTGCCTATATATTGATAGCGTAAAGGGATCTTGTTGTCCTGCCTATATATTGAGAGCATAAAGGGATCTCGTTGTCCTGCCTATATATTGAAAGCGTTAGTGTTATCAATCGCCAGCTGGGCACGTGTGGGTATAGACGACATTCGTCCCTTTCAAGGAGTTTTGTCTGGTGTAAGTGGGAGTTCATGAAAAACCTCTCTCTCACTTCTCACTTACTCTTCTCACTTATACTCTCTTCACCATCATTGAAATTTCAGACAAAAACCATTGCAATAAAAATTTTGGGTGAGGCGTTTTGATGTTTATGAAAACATTTCCAATCATATAAAAGCAAATTAGGTAACATTTGACTCTTATATATTTGGTAAGATTTATGTGTGAATTCCAAGAGACAGACTTTAAGAGACACTGGAGCTTTGTTGGCTTGTCTGTCATGGCAGCCTGTCATGGCAGCCTGTCATGGCAACCTGTCATGGCAGCCTGTCATGGCAGCCTGTCATGGCAGCCTGTCATGGCAGCCCGTCATGGCAGCCTCAGCCATGATGGCTAGTTAGCCTACGTCTGAACATCATTAATTGAATCTAATATCAATTTTAATTCTTAATGTTCATCTTAATTCATCTTAAACTCATCTTAATTCATCTTAAACTCATCTTAATTCATCTTAAACTCATCTTAATTCATCTTAAACTCATCTTAATTCATCTTAAACTCATCTTAATTATATGATCAATTTTGTCATTAACAAACACATAGATTTTGTTAATAGTTATAAAAAAAATATATATTCATGTTGTTTTTGTTTTCGTGTTTTTCAGAGCCCGTTTGCTTTTGTAAGTGTGTGTTTGTTTACAATGTTTTTGCATGATCACAAGCGACGCCCAACACACACATGCAAACTCGCACTGCCTTCGTGATAGACAAAATGTCGAGTCAACAAAAACTGGAAGAAAACGAGATGCCGTATGCATGTTGTATAAGACCGCCTAGTAGCGCTATCCTATGTATATATATGTGTATATATATATATAAATTTCAGTTATATACACACATGCACTTAATTTATACCTGTGTGCTTCGAGTATGTTCTTTAAGACAAACACAAATTATTTGTTACGGAGGACTTGACTTAATGACTTGACCGCGTAGTTGTCTAATCAACACGAGACAAAATGCAGGTGTTGCGAGGGAGTTGTTCTTGGAGCATGTTCACTGTCTTGGGTGTTGAGCACCGTGGGTGTTGAGCACCGTGGGTGTTGAGCACCGTGGGTGTTGAGCACCGTGGGTGTTGAGCCCCGTGGGTGTTGAGCCCCGTGGGTGTTGAGCACCGTGGGTGTTGAGCACCGTGGGTGTTGAGCACCGTGGGCGTTGAGCACCGTGGGTGTGCCTGAGCCTGACTACACAACTGTGCAACAGTGAAGTGCTCAACGGTGAAGGCTTACCCATCACAGTCCTCAACAGTAGCAGGCTTCCTCACTCTCACCGTCGTATCACTGCATGTTGCAGATGGCACAGTTAGTGTTCCTAGTTCACAGTAAGCTTAGTGTCCACTGTCCTTCATCTACGGGCTCACCATAGCCCGTGATACTTGGAACTTTTTGTTCCAGGTAGCTAATCTTTAACAACAACAACAACAACAAGTGACCTTCAGACATCCCTCGACTGAACACACTAAAGTTCTGAACTTTCTAGCTTTATTTATGATGGAAGAACAAGACGCCATTCGTCGACGCTGGCTTTCTGAATCCTCGTTCGACTCTCAGTTCACTCGCCTGATTTTCTGATAACAATACCCCATTACCTAACGATCTCCCGAATTGGCTGATTTACCGATATTCAAACTACCATGACCTGACGTCAGCATAAATACCATGGACTTTGTCATTCTTGTAAACTGATCTCATGACATCTCCTTATTTCGAATTCATGACATTATCATCGCCTGACATCTCTTGACATCAGCATTCTTGACATCCACATCTCTTGACATCCACCTTCTTGACATCAGCATTCTTGACATAATTCCAGTTCGTAATCTGAAGCCCTTATTAAGAAGCTATTTTTCTCTCAAGTTTAATTAACAAAACAAGGGAAAAAACTAATAATTATATCGAAATAGCAACTGCCTCTGCTTGTGTTACTCGTCTAAGTACTTAAGACTTACTTAAATACTTAGTACTTACTTAACTATGTGCACAGCTTTTTTTGACTTCAATGCACTTTGCTTCCATAAATATTCAATATATATATATATATATATATATATATATATATATATATATATATATATATATATATATATATATATATATATATATATATATTCAAAAGTTGGTTATATTTGACTTCCAGTTCAACTTGAAGTTATACTATATACTGTATGTTGTATACTATGTGGTGTATATTGTATGCTGTATGCTGCCTGTTGATACAGCAGCGCACGCAACGAGACTACGCTTATGTGACGCAGTATGGCTTATTGCGTGCAACCATGCACTCGGGTGGTCGCAGGTGTGTAGCGCAGTCTCTACAGGTGTGTGTGTGTGTGTGTGTAAACAGAGTTGGCGAGCTGCATGTTTGTAAGGTACAGTCCATCTGATGTATTGATGTGCGTTAACTGAAGGTCACACGGCTAGTTTGTTTGTAATATGGAGTTGAGGCCTAGGGTGTAGGTGTAGGCCTAGGGTGTAGGCCTAGGGTGTAGATCTAGGGTGCAGGGCAGGCAGGGTGCAGAGCAAGCATGGTACAGGGCAGGCAGACTGAAGGGCAGACAGACTGCAGAGCAGGCAGGGCACAGAGCAGACAGGGTGCAAGGCAGACAGACTGAAGGGCAGACAGGGTGCAGAGCAGACAGACTGCAGAGCAGACAGACTGCAGAGCAGACAGGGTGCAGAGCAGACAGGGTGCAGAGCAGACAGACTGAAGGGCAGACAGGGTGCAGAGCAGACAGACTGCAGAGCAGACAGACTGCAGAGCAGACAGACTGAAGGGTGCAGAGCAGACATACTGCAGAGCAGGCAGGGCACAGAGCAGACAGGGTGCAGAGCAGACAGGCTGAAAGGCAGACAGGGTGCAGAGCAGGCAGACTGCACAACCAGTCGTGAGAATCCCTCCATATTAGTCTCCCAGGACGAAGCAGAGAGACTCAGGACATCCCAAATATGTCCCAACATTATAACGCTGAAAACCTGTAAAAAACTCTCAATGCATTAAGGTAAACCCAAACTGATGTAAACCTCTCTTATCTGGCACCTTGTAAATAACAGCCACAGTTATAACAACACTAGTAAATAATGATGTAAATGATTTACAGCAACAATGTCTTATTGATTTTTGTCATTTTTTTCAGAACCCGTTTATCTACGTGAGTGAAGATTGCAGAAATTCATTATTGCATGTTCTATGCAAAGTTGCAAAGCTGTTGCTTCTTGAGGTGCTGTCTGTCTGTCTGTCTGTCTGTCTGTCTGTCTGTCTGTCTGTCTGTCTGTCTGTCTGTCTCTCTGACTCTCTGACTCTCTCTCTCTCTCTCTCTTTCATTTTCAGATGAACAGTTTGTTAATGTCTACTGATTGAAGCAGATTGTTTCCTGTACACAATCTTCTCTAGCACCAGCCAATGCACCTAGTTTGCATACTTAACGTGGCTCAATATACCTTTTTTTCCAGCTTATAAACCGATTTTATCGTCGTTTATATTGCATGTTGCATGAGACGTGTGTGTGTGCTTCGTCTTGAGAAATGTCAGGAATGATTGATTATTTGAGTTGCTGGGAATAGTTTTTCTAAGTCACTTTTTGTATATAACTTCGCACGAAATTTGCGTGTTATAGCTGAGTTATTATCAGGGGGTTTAAAATAAGTTAATTGTAAGAAAGTTGCAATACAAGTTTTAAGTGGGCTCTAAGCCACCATGCTCGTGCGATGGTAGTGGTTACTAGTTATAAGTAGTAGTAGTAGAAGTAGAAGTAGAAATTACGAGGTAGAAGAGGTATGTCTCCTTCGTGTGTCTTACAGTCGGGATCTGAGAATTCTTTTTTTTCTTAGAAATTAGAGATAGTGTTCATAATGTTCATTGTATCTCTTATAGCCGTCTCTGTATCACCTACGGTGTCACTGCATCTCCTACGGTGTCATCGTATCATCCTACGGCCAATACCATGATGCACAGTCGCACGCTTGAGCGACTGTTCAATGAATGACGGTGTTCAATGAATGTCTCCTAGTAACACTGTATAGTGGCGTTCAACGAATGTCTAACGGTGATGTCACCGTTGTTATAGCCATCTGTGAGCTAGTCTCATCAATATTGTCCACATCACTGCAATCCTCACCATCAATACTGTCCACATCACTGCAATCCTCACCATCAATACTGTCCACATCACTGCAATCCTCACCATCAATACTGTCCACATCACTGCAATCCTCACCATCAATACTGTCCACATCACTGCAATCCTCACCATCAATACTGTCCACATCACTGCAATCCACACCATTATTCCTAATTTTTATCAATAATAATGAAACAATGCCTTGTTAAACTCAGTGACTTTTCACTATTACTAATGTCACAAGCACTTTTAGTATCGCCCTCGCCATCTTCATTAACAGCATCATCACTATCACCATCATCACCATAGGCTTCACCATCCCGTGTAAATAAACCAGTTTTATTTCCCATCAAACCCCCAGATTATGGACAGGACGAAGGAGAAGAGTTAGAGACGTCAGATTGGACGTGATTAGAGATTGGAGACGTCAAACCCATCACTAGAAGGGTTCCTAGGGCGTGCCTCTTGTCGTGGGTGTTCGGTGTGTTTTCGGTAGTGTTCGGTGTGTTGTCGGGGTGGTGTTCGGTGTGACAGGTTCGTCCTGACCTGTGATCTTAACTGCACTTCCTCTTTAATGTTGCCAACGATCCAAGAGAAACAAGTTGTTCAATTAGAAATTTTATAAATGTCTTTTCAAAGTCGATTTTGTGTATTTTTTGTACGCAGCTTTTATATTTAGAAAGTATTTGAATGTTATTGTTTTTGATAGTTTAAAATATGTATAAAAATGTATTGAAATGCTCGATTCAAATACATTCCAACTATAAAAAAAGGCTTTAGTATGGTGGCTTTAACTGTGTTTAAGTTTCCAGAAGATGGTGTTGTATGGTGATATAGTGATATAGTATGGTGAGGTATAGTGCTTATATATCATTATTATTATTTATTCTTATTATATCTTCAGCTTTAGCAACCAGACTGTTTATTACAGCTCTCTATAGTCTTAATTATCAATGTAATTCTCACTTATTCTCCTTTTATATAATTATTTCTTCTCTTACGTAGGTTTTGTGTTTTTCCTTTTCTCGGGCACGTATTTATTTATGTAATTTTATTAAGATATAGTTTCTTGTTCGAGTAATTTTTGTTTACATTTGTTGACATCCTGTGTGATGTCACTAGTCTGTCAGACCAGTGTTTACTGATGTCACTAGTCTGTGACATCTGATGTCACTAGTCTGTGACATCTGATGTCACTAGTCTGTGACATCTGATGTCACTAGTCTGTCAGACTAGTGTTTACTGATGTCACTAGTCTGTGACATCTGATGTCACTAGTCTGTGACATCTGATGTCACTAGTCTGTGACATCTGATGTCACTAGTCTGTCAGACTAGTGTTTACTGATGTCACTAGTCTGTGACATCTGATGTCACTAGTCTGTCAGACCAGTGTTTATTGATGTCAGTAGTCTCACGTCTGGCACACCAGTGTTCACTGATGTCACTATAGTCACTCTCGCCCGTGTTAACTGATGTCTTCTCACTGAAAACAATGTGTTTCTCTCACTACACATCACAGAGTCCTGCTCCCACCTAGAGCCTTGCCTCTGCACCTGCTTGCTCTATATCCACCTTAGCCTCTCTTGGGTTTTATTAGGCTTGTAGTTATATATATCAATAATTGGTGTGTCAGGCAAACTATTGTTGTATGGGATATGTGAGATGTCATCAATTATATATATTTTGATTGTTTTTTCATGTACTTTTGTTTAATGTTTATTCTTTTCTTCTATTTCTCGGGGGCGTGGTTGGTGGGCGTGGCATATGTTGATTGATTTGTATTCGTGGCGTGTGCGTGTGTGTGTGTGTGTGTGTGTGTGTGTGTGTGTGTGTGTGTGTGTGTGTGTGTGTGTGTGTGTGTGTGTGTGTGTCTGTGTGTGTGTGTGTGTGTGTGTGTGTGTGTGTGTGTGTGTGTGTGTGTGTGTGTGTGTGTGTGTCTGTGTGTGTCTGTGTGAGTGTGTGTGTGTGTGTGTGTGTGTGTGTGTGTGTGTGTGTGTCTGTGTGTGGTGTGTGGTGTGTGGTGTGTGTGTGTGTGTGTGTGTGTGTGTGTGTGTGTGTGTGTGTGTGTGTGTGTGTGTATGTGTGTGTGTGTGTGTGTGTGTGTCTGTGTCTCTGTGTGTGTGTGTCTGTGTGTGTGTGTGTGTGTGTCTGTGTCTGTGTGTGTGTGTGTGTCTGTGTGTGTGTGTGTGTGTGTCTGTGTCTGTGTGTGTGTGTGTGTGTGTGTGTGTGTGTGTGTGTGTGTGTGTGTGTGTGTGTGTGTGTGTGTGTGTGTACAGGTCAAGGACAAGACGGTGAGTGTGTCTGGACACATGAAGGATGCGACAGTGGGCGCTTCTCAATGGGTGGCCTCTCAGACCTCGAAGACGGCCAAGGCGGCCATGGACCAGGCCAAATCTGGCCTCAGTCTGGGCGAGAAGTTCACCCTCTTCGCTGTGGAGAAGATCAGCACGTGAGTCCTAACCTTACTGTTGTTAACCTGAGTCCTTGCCTAATAGCCTCTTACCCCCATTGTCACAACCCCCACTACCAAAACATTCCCCACAGTAACTATTACCATCAACAATGCCCCCAGTGCCGCTGAATCTTTTCCACCGCCACAGCTGACTCTACCTTACCCTCACGTCTCTCTCCTCCCTCGTCCAGGTTCTCACGAAAGGGGTTCACACACGTGTTCATGTTCCTGATCCTGGCGGGGTACACGGCGCTAGGGGCCCTGCTCTTCATGGCCCTGGAAGCCCCACACGAGGAAGAGATCAAGCACAAGTACGAAGAGGCTAAAATCACCCTCATTGAGACCCTCTGGGAGAACACCGTCCAGAATAGGGCCATCAACTTCTCCAACTGGGAAAAGGTAGGTCAGCAAAAAGGTTCAATGGACAGTGAGTGGATAGGTGACTCGGAGGGAAGGGATAGGTGACTCGGAGGGAAGGGATTGGTGACTCGGAGGGGGGAATAGGTGGCTGAGGGGGAGGGGATGATAAGTGGGTGGATAGTTTAGCTGATCTGGAAGAATTTAGAACTTCAAGTCTACCCTATGGAAAGGGTTAAACCAGCTGATATTGAGCAAATCCACAAGGGCCGTGACGATGATTCGAACCTACGTCCGAGAGCATCCCAGACGCTGCCTTTATCGACTGAGCTACGACATGGTCAAAAAGAATTGAAACCTGAAGTTCTACTGAACTTGGATCCTGCAGCCTCAGCTGATATTAATAGATGGATGGACAAATGGATCCATGCATCGATAGAGGGATTGACAGACATATGAATAGACGATAGATGGATTGATTGAATGGATAGACTTACAAGATCACTGCCCCCGGATATCTGATCCCGTCCTTCTAATAGGAATAAATCAACGTTGATTTATTCCCCTCCCGCTTAAGGGACTCTTGGAGCTCCCTAAACATCTGCCTATCAGTGTGTTTGTCGTTCGTTAATATCGTTAATAGGCGACGTTAATATCGACGTCAGTCTTGACGTCTTTACCCCCTTGGAGGGAGCGCCGAGCTCACCCGGCATCTCTACATTCGTTCACGGGCTCACCATAGCCCGTGCTACATGGACACTTCGTTCTGAGTAGCTAAATTTAAAACAACAAATCTACTTTCGCGAGTTCTAAATCGCCAACACTACGACCAATCACGCGTAACCTGTAGTCGTAGTAGTAGTAGTAGGTAGTTAGATCGTTAAGACGTGTCATCATTATTGTATAACAGCGACCAATGTCTCCGGATAAGCATGGAGGTATTATTAAATAATAATATTTATTATTATTAATTAATTCATTAAATTATTAAAATTATTAATATATTAATATACACGGAATTAAAACACGAGGAGAAAAACTTTGCATTTTAGAGACTGTCTGAGGCTGCTTCACTGTTATCTTGAGATCTTGAGGTTATCTTGAGATGATTTCGGGGCTTAGTGTCCCCGCGGCCCGGTCCTCGCCATAGCCCGTGACAGTTGACTAACTCCCAGATACCTATTTACTGCTAGGTAACAGGGGGCATCAGGGGGTGAAAGAAACTCTGCCCATTGTTTCTCGCCGGTGCCCGGGATCAAACCCAAGACCACAGGATCACGCGTCCAGTGTTCTGTCTGCTCAGTCACCGGCTGTTACTGTGAAGCATTTCATTATACCTAAGTGTTTGGGCACTGTCTTATTGTACTGCTTGTTGAGCATCTTGCAGTAACTGGTGGATCATAACTGCCATCTTTGAGCTGCACGTCTTCATGTAGATACAATAATATATAATGTAGGACTGAAAATAGGTGTTTTTTCACCCATAGGGTTATAAACCCAGGGAACCGCCTACCCGCCGATGCCGTAAATGCCAAAAGACTGTTGAATTTTAAGATTCAGCTTATAAGAATTCAGAAAAGTTTTTTAAGAACTTTTGTATATATAAATAAAATAACAAAAAGATGAGTTTGAGTGTTCAGAATTGAGAGAGTTAGGGATGAAACAGTAACAGAAAACCGGGTTCCACCTCTTAGGCGCAGTTCACCGTTTTCTAATTGAATTGAAATTGAAATTGAAATAAGTTTATTGAGGTAAAATACACACAAAGGGATGAGGTAGCTCAAGCTATTCTCACCCCGTTCAGTACAACGTGTTAATACATACATATAAACACATCACAAACAATAAACATATTACCAAACATTCTGAGAAATATAATTATACATTTCCTCCTTTACACAAGTAAATTTCTAATTATCAGGAGATAATTAGAAAACTCACTCTTCCGTGAGTCCTAATTTGGAGAGCTACTTCATTCTACGCCTCCGAGGTCACACTAATGATTCAGCCCGCCCCCCTAAGGTTTCCCAACGTCTAGAAAAGGGTCAAATTTAAAGTGGTCTCTCCTAGCCAACTAGAGGACCCAAAACAGAAAACGGGACAGTACGTCACTTTCGCCAGCCTCTTCCACTTTCTAGTAAGATGATGTTTGGCCTTATGTAACGCCTACGATCGAAATGCGACGTTCCTTGTAAGAGAACAAGTTGATTGTGTACCGTCTTAGTGTTCTCTATCACCAACTATAACCCAAATAGATAATAAATTTTGATAATATGAGAGACCATTTTGTTCCTCACTGTGGCTATTAAAACCACTTTCGTTTACATAAGAACTATCAGATACCCACCATTAGTGGAAAGCTCACACTTATACGCTTAATTCTGATCAGCTTGAGGTGAGAGAGTCAGGAGCCAGATTCACGAAAGCACTTACCTTGAGGTTATCTTGAGATGATTCCGGGGCTTTTAGTGTCCCCGCGGCCCGGTCCTCGACCAGGCCTCCACCCCCAGGAAGCAGCCCGTGACAGCTGGCTAACACCCAGGTACCTATTTTACTGCTAGGTAACAGGGGCATAGGGTGAAAGAAACTCTGCCCAATGTTTCTCGCCAGCGCCTGGGATCGAACCCGGGACCATAGGACCACAAGTCCAGCGTGCTGTCAAGGGGGGAGCCGGTGCTTACGCAAGCACTTACTTACCTGTGCAATCTTTTCTCAATCTTTGGCGGCATTGTTTACAATTATTAAACAGGTAATGAGCTCCGAAGCACCAGGAGGCTGTTTATAACAATAACAACAGTTGATTGGCAAGTTTTCATACTTGTAAATTGTTTAATAAATGTAACCAAAGCCGTCAAAGATTGAGGAAAGATGTACACGTTCGTAAGAGCTTGCGTAACTACTTCGTGAATCTGGCCCCCCCAGGTAGGCTAGGATACCAACCCATTCTTGCGAACAGTACATCGCGTGTTGACGTATAACCAAAAGCTGGCCATACCGGCCCCTAAAGCCAAAAATTGACGTGGTAAAAAATCATAGCCGTTCGCAAGATTGACGTGATGTCCCGCTGATGTTTCTCCTCAGATAGTGAACATCACCACAAACAGTGTACACTCTGCTTTAGATAATGTACATCACCTTGATACCTGGTTGATGGGGTTCTGGTAGTTCTTCTACTCCCCCAAGCCCGGCTCGAGGCCAGGCTTGACTTGTGAGAGCTTGGTCCACCAGGCTGTTGCTGCACGCTTGGAGCGGCCCCGCAGGCCCCTTAAGCCGTGTACACTTTCCACTTCCCCCCCCCAGATAATGTACATCGTCACAGTGTACACTCTCTCCCCCAGATAGTGGACAATCAGCTGAAGAACTACGACGACCAGCTCAAGCTGTCATGGTCGGCCGGAATTTCAACGGATCCCGACGATCGAATATGGACTTTTTGGAAGACGATGTTCTTCTGTTCTACCATAACAACCACGATTGGTAAGTGTTCTTCTGTTCTACCATAACAACCACGATTGGTAAGTGTTCTTCTGTTCTACCATAACCACGATCGGTAAGTGTTCTTCTGTTCTACCATAACCACGATCGGTAAGTGTTCTTCTGTTCTACCATAACAACCGCGATTGGTAAGTGTTCTTCTGTTCTACCATAACCACGATCGGTAAGTGTTCTTCTGTTCTACCATAACCACGATCGGTAAGTGTTCTTCTGTTCTACCATAACCACGATCGGTAAGTGTTCTTCTGTTCTACCATAACAACCGCGATTGGTAAGTGTTCTTCTGTTCTACCATAACAACCGCGATTGGTAAGTGTTCTTCTGTTCTACCATAACCACGATCGGTAAGTGTTCTTCTGTTCTACCATAACAACCGCGATTGGTAAGTGTTCTTCTGTTCTACCATAACAACCACGATTGGTAAGTGTTCTTCTGTTCTACCATAACAACCATGATTGGTAAGTGTTCTTCTGTTTTACCATAACAACCACGATCGGTAAGTGTTCTTCTGTTCTACCATAACAACCACGATCGGTAAGTGTTCTTCTGTTCTACCATAACAACCACGATCGGTAAGTGTTCTTCTGTTCTACCATAACCACGATCGGTAAGTGTTCTTCTGTTCTACCATAACCAGGATCGGTAAGTGTTCTTCTGTTCTACCATAACCACGATCGGTAAGTGTTCTTCTGTTCTACCATAACAACCACGATCGGTGTTCTTCTGTTCTACCATAACAACCACGATCGGTGTTCTTCTGTTCTACCATAACAACCACGATCGGTGTTCTTCTGTTCTACCATAACAACCACGATCGGTGTTCTTCTGTTCTACCATAACAACCACGATCGGTAAGTGTTCTTCTGTCTCACCACTAACATCTGAGAGGAATATTTCTATTCTACCACCACGTTCAGTCCGTTGTTCTAATGTTCTAAATTGTTCCTGTGTTCTATTACCACCTCCAGTAAGCTGTTCTCGCGTCCTAGTACCATCACTGGCGAGTTCTGTGTGTTCTACCTAATCCCCAAGACACTAAGATGAATAGGAAAATGTTGACCAGACCACACACTAGAAAGTGAAGGAACGACGGCGTTTCGGTCCGTCCTGGACCTTTCTCAAGTCGCTAGGAAAGGACGGCCTCTTTAAGAGGCGAGAAGGGAAGAACGGATGGACAGAGGTGGCAGCCGGAAACACGAGAAACTCGAAGGAATGTAAAAAAATATTCACACCCCTGTACGGGCGGTCAACACGTGGAATGCACTGTTTCAAGAAGTCGAGGAAGCCACCTCCATCCACAACTTTAAGGTCACTTTAGACAAAGATTGTGGGCGTCAGAATATAGTTATTAAGTTGTAAGGCCCCAAGGTGGAGCCAGGCCAGAAAGGAGGGGCTTAAGAGTGCTAAACTTCACTTCCCCCGCAGACCCTGACAAGTACTGTTAGGTAATAAGTGCCAGGTTACAGGAGCAGCATCGACAGCAGTGACAACATCAGCAGCAGCAAGAGCATCAGCCACATTAGCAACAGTAACATTAGAAACGGCAAATACAGCAGCAACGAATACAATAGTAACAGCAGCAGCAACAGATACAATAGCAGTAGCAACAACAGCAGCAACAGCAAAATCAGGAGCAGCAGCAGCAGCATTAGGAGCAGCAGCGGCAGCAGCAGCAGCAGCAACAGCAAAATCAGCAGCAGCAGCAGCAGCAACAGCGGGGTATTCTGGCCTCAACAATAACAAAGCCATGGAGGAACATACACTTGTGGAGGAGAAAGATAAAGAGTGGTGGGAGAGAGAGAGAGAGAGAGAGACGGCTCAAACAATAAACAATGGAACAGAAACGGCCGAGAAGTGAAACAGTCGCCACCAGAGGTAAACAGCAATAGTTTATAAACAGAAAAAAAGAAGATTGAATAGACTGAACGACGTAAAGGTCAAGCAACAGGAGCAATTGAAGACATTAAACAACTCAAGGAGACTACTGGAGGATTATTGAGCTTTGTTTCCTAAATCTTGTCTGTCTGTTTCTCTGTCTTTCTCTCTGAGGTAAAACACCAGTTTACAGGGTCGGTCTTGAGCTCCTGGGCCCCTATGGCTCTGGTGACACCAGATAAATCTGTAATCCTTCTCGACACATGTCTACGTCTCTGTCTTTACCTGTCTTCCTCCATCTGTCTCCCCGCTAATCTTCCTCTGTCTCCGGCTTAGCGTCATGCATATTTTTAGTTCTCGTAGAAAATGGGAATATCAACACCCCTGGTGGCGGCTCGGGGAACTACACACTCGTGTCCGGCTTAAGCTAGTAGTGGTTCCACTTCTCGTATATTTCGCCCAACTGTACGTGTCTTCGTTAGAAATCTAGGAATCTAACGACAGGGAGATCAAGCTCTTACGTGGCTGTGATGTTTGGGCATACGAGTGGTGCGTGTCATGTCGCGAATCTCAAACTACAAGGGGAAATAGTTTAGTGAATCAATACTCATGACTTGTCATGCAGGCAGGCAAGCAGGCAGGCAGGCAGGCAGGCGCCTCCACCACCACCATAACCACACCTACCCCCGCTCTACCTAGCCACCTAGCCACCTAGCCACCTAGCCATCTGTCGGTATACCACCTGTTTCTCGTTAAATGGGTGTGGAATTGTGGTTTTTTTTCTATGAAGGTAGTTTAATTATTTGCGTTTATAAAGGAGTGGGTTTATTTTTCCTTCTGAGGAAAGCCATATATTTTGCTTTTTTTTCTGGTATTATACCCATTCCGTGGGTATACCCAGTCCGTGAGTATACCCACCCCGTCGATGGCTTCCTCATGTGTCACATTTCCTTCCACCAGTATGTGTTTCTTGGCATATTCGACATGTTCCTCAGTGATATATTACTCGATATACTCACTCCCTCTGACAATAAGGGGAACATCCCACACCAAGACATATTATATCTTCGACATATTCATCCCATTCATATTATGGGTTTGTCATATCATCCCCCCCCCCCACACCCCACAGACATCTGCGCTACAACACACCTACCCACACACCTACCCACACAGCTACCCACACACCTACCCGCAATGGCTGCCAGTTTGTTATTGTTTTAGATTTAGCTACTCAGAACGAAATGTTCATGTAGCACGGGCTATGGCGAGCCCGTAATGGCTGCTAGTCCGACCACACATCAAATACCTGCAGACTGTATGCTCAGGGGTGGGGCCCCGCCTCTCCTCACCTCAGATAAATCTATCCTTGGTGAGGTGGTGACAGTACTGTGTGTATGCGTTTAGGGAGTGATCCTGAGCGGCATGGGTTCGAATCCCGGTTCGAACCAGTGTGGCGCAGACAGATGATGGTGGAAGTGATGGTGGTATCTGTGATGGTGGAAGTGATGGTGGTAGTGGTTGTCATGATGATGGTGTTGTCAGTAACGACGGTGGTGCCATTGATGGTGTCAGTGATAATGTAACAGTGCAGGCAGTGATGGTGTTGTTGTCAGTAATAGTGGGGCAGCAGTGAAGGTGGTGATGGTGGCAGTGATGGTGTTGTTGTCAGTAATAGTGGGGCAGCAGTGAAGGTGGTGATGGTGGCAGTGATGGTGTTGTTGTCAGTAATAGTGGGGCAGCAGTGAAGGTGGTGATGGTGGCAGTGATGGTGTTGTTGTCAGTAATAGTGGGGCAGCAGTGAAGGTGGTGATGGTGGCAGTGATGGTGTTGTTGTCAGTAATAGTGGGGCAGCAGTGATGGTGGTGATGGTGGCAGTGATGGTGTTGTTGTCAGTAATAGTGGGGCAGTAGTGATGGTAGTGGTGGCAGTGATAAGGATTGCATCAGTGATTTCCCACCTGATGAAGGATTTCATCAGGTTTAAAAAAAAAAAGGATTTTTTCTTCTTGCTGTACAAAGATATTCCTCTAAGGAGGTTGAAGACCCTGTGACTCACCTACTAAATGTTACTCAGTCTTACTCAGGCGGTGAGTGAGTGTTTATGACTCACATGTTGCCTTCAGTAACAACGTCTGCCTTGTTAAACCTCTCTGGCACAATGGCACTGTTTGCCATATCTCCATAATGTTGCCATATCTCCATAATGTTGCCATATCTCCATAATGTTGCCATATCTCCATAATGTTGCCATATATCCATAATGTTGCCATATCTCCATAATGTTTGCCATTGTTCTCTTCTGGCAACTGTCAACCTATTTCCCATGCACCTGGGTATCCAAGTATTATGCAGTGAAAATGTTCTTCTGTTCTACTATTGTTCTTCAGCAATATACGCATGTCAAAGTTGGTTGAATTCTTGTACCATACAGCATAGTCTGACACTGTCAGTACCAGCTATGATCACTGGACATCTTCTAACTTTCTATATCTCTATTTTCTTAATCTGTGGTATGTAAATGTCTACATTCCTCCTCTTAGTAGCAAGTTCTGAGGAGCTCCTTCAACAATGACATTCCCTGGTAATCCTGCATGACTTGGAACCCAGTTGATATATTTCCGACGACCTTGACGTTGGAGTATTTGCATTAATGAACAAATCCACAAGGGCCGTGACGAGGATTCGAACCTACGTCCGAGATCTTCCCGGACACTGCCTTAATCGACTGAGCTACGACATGGTCAACGACAAGTTTGCATTAATGCTGCAACGTCTATCGTCAGATGAATATAGTCACACAAGTGATCTTGTTGCAAGGTTTCAATGGTAGTTCTCTAAGTGGTGGGAGGGAGAGTGGTGTTGGCAGTAATGATGGTAGTGGTGGTGGCAGGGATGGTGGTAGTAGTGGTGGTATGGATGCTGGAGCTAATTGTAAATGATATCAATTTAAAAGCTGGTTATTGTGCACAGAGGTTGATAGCATGTCTGAGAACACCGGACAGCAGGAGCCTCCCGAGGCCGAGTTCGACCTCGACCCTAAGGGACAACAGGCCGAAGACAAAGCTCCTCCTCAAGCCTCGTTCTTTCACGAATGTGTTTACGTCTTCACGAGTACTTGGAAATCCTTTTCTTACGATCACCACGAGACCCTCCGTAGCATCCGTCAGGAGAGCGTTCACTGCGCCGCGTCGTTCCTCCTGTGGTGTGCCTTCTGCCTCGCCTGCGCAGTCTCCCTCGGCGTCACAGAGCGCAGTTACATGGAAGATCCAACAAGACCTCAACCCCTCGACCCTCTCGATGTAAACAATCAGATCCTCCTGAAGGAGGAACAGACAATAGAGGATCTGTGGTCCGCGTCTTCCCTTCTGCAGGAGCAGGATTGGAAGGCCAAGGCGCAGGAGACGCTGAAGAAGGTGCGGGAAGAGTGCGCATCCCTGCAAGGATGCGCACGCCCGCCCGAGGACGACATCCCCGACTGGGGCATCATGAACAGCTTCGTCTACATGCTCACTGTCACCACTTCCATCGGTAAGTAGTGTGCAGGTGTTGTCCTCGAGCCCCTGGTGACAGATGTTGTCCTCGAGCCCCTAGTGTCAGGTGTTGTCCTCGAGCCCCTGGTGACAGGTGTTGTCCTCGAGCCCCTAGTGACAGGTGTTGTCCTCGAGCCCCTGGTGACAGGTGTTGTCCTCGAGCCCCTGGTGACAGGTGTTGTCCTCGAGCCCCTAGTGACAGGTGTTGTCCTCGAGCCCCTGGTGACAGGTGTTGTCCTCGAGCCCCTGGTGACAGGTGTTTAGGTACTGTTACTGAGTCAGCGAGGGGCAGCAGAATAGTACTTAGTGATACTACCTTTAGATGAGTTCTAACTACGTCAAGACAAGTACTAACGACCTCAAGGCGAGTACTAATCACTGCAAGGTGAGTACTAATCACCGCAAGGTGAGTACTATATACGTGTGTTTTTATGCCTATATTATATAGAAGAAGAAGGGGGTGACTAGAGGTGGTGTGGCAGAGCACCAGCGCCCTCCAGCTGTGGACTCGTTGTGGTCTTCGCCAGGACGCGTGTATTGTCGTATGGCTGTGGTGGGTATGTCGACACGTGTCTTCAGCACAGGTCATGTGCTCTCTGGAGACGCGCCAGCTCTTAGGCGCCGACTACGAGCGCTCTCGCACATCGTATGTGGGTGACTGGCACTCACCCACATCGTATGTGGGTGAGTGGCACTCGCCCACATCGTATGTGGGTGAGTGGCACTCGCCCACATCGTATGTGGGTGACTGGCACTCACCCACATCGTATGTGGGTGAGTGGCACTCGCCCACATCGTATGTGGGTGACTGGCACTCGCCCACATCGTATGTGGGTGAGTGGCACTCGCCCACATCGTATGTGGGTGACTGGCACTCGCCCACATCGTATGTGGGTGAGTGGCACTCATCCACATCAATGGATGTCGCGGTCTTGCAATTTTCGGGTTAGTTACTCTTGGCTTCCCTGTAACCTTCAAACGTGCGGTCTGTATCAATGTCTTCTCCAATTCTCCAGCGAATTGAAGAACAAGAAACAAGACCAACATTGTACTGTTGTTCTTTCAGTCATCCCTGTTGCTTACAGTTCGATTTAAAATAGTTTAATCCAGTCCTCAACGCCCTCTACCCTCGAAGAGGATACGCTCTCATCTTCCCCCCAAAAGGGTCCAGCTTGCATCAGTTTCCGATCTTCCCATAACCATGTACTAAGTCATTTTTTCCTCGACGGAAAAAAAACTAAGTCTTGTACTAAGTCTCAGTCGTTTTAACCTTCTTCGTGTGTGTCTTCCGCAGGTTATGGCCACATCTTCCCCCGGACCAATGCTGGCCGAGCACTTACCATCGTCTACGCTATCCTCGGCATTCCTATCTTCCTCATCTTAATGGCCGACTTCGGCAAGCTCTTCACCCGGCTCCTCAAGTCATTGTTCGTCTTCGTCCGGAGGCTCTACCGCACTTCCACCTGCCGGAGAGTCAGGAAGTCGCGCGCTGTGCAGTCTGTCAAAGTGAGTTGGTTGTCTTAAGTCTCTTGATTGAAGAGAGAGCGAGAAGATGTACATTGTGTGTTGTGTGACTCTCACTTGCTAGTGTGAGGAAGTTCTTGTCAGTGGCACGTGTGATATCTCTGGTGAGGGGTAAGCACGTCCTCTTTAGGGTGAGGACGTCTCTGGTGAGGGGTGAGCATGCCCCCTTTAGGGTGAGGACGTCCCCTAGCTAGTGTGACAACGTCATTTGTTAGTGTGAAGAAGTTCCCTGTTAGTGGATCCTGTGACTATTCCTTGTAAGTGGATCGTACCCCCCTTGTAACCGGCCCTTGTGCGTTGACAGTGTGACGTCCCTTTTGAATGAATCTTCCAAAATACTTTTCAAATTAGTTCATTATATCAGTCTTACACCCCACTCCTCCCGTCACCGCCCTGCCCTCTGTTGTGTGTAGGTTCGTGGATCCCTGCTTCAGGCACTGGCTGAAGGGAAGGTACTTATTTGCAATATGAGAGTGTACTTAAGCTGCAATGTAAGTGAGTGTTGAGTGTGTGGATGGTCGTAGGGAGCACCGCTCGCAACTTTACGACAACGTAAGTGGCTTTTGGCGTTTGTTATGGATTAATAACAGCTTGCAATTTGTATTTTTCTTGCCAAACAATAACAGCTAACTTATTCAGTAACTGTTAGTATTTCAGACATTAACCTCAACTCACAATCAAAACTTCAAACTCGTGTGTAATATCAACATCCTCATCACTAGTGAACGGCCCTTGCAGTCAGTACTTGCAAGATGGTTTTAAATACTTGCAATTCGATACTCCCTGCCTCCTCTTTCTTCTTTCCCCTGTTTTCTTTGTAATTAGATCACCTAAACCGGTTTCTTGATTGGTTGTCGTAGGTTTATTAACGCTATGTGTGTTGTTTCCTTGAGAACTGACTAGTAGAAGTAGCTTGTCTAACACCAGGGGTGTCAGACAACGTCTCTAACATCTGCTAACGTCTCTAACATCTGTGACTTAAAACATCTTCCCGTCTCTTTCTTGCCTTCAGACACCCTCCGAACACCTCTTGCAGACATAACTTGTTTCTCATTTAATTATATCCGACATCTTGTAAAACCTTGCTCGTCCTCGCCTGTGAGCGTAATTCCTTCTTACCCACTTTTTGATGTGGGCTTCTTCTCCACCTCGTCCGAGCACACTGCCTCTATCTTCCTCCTCCTCCGAGGACAATGACTCTATCCTACTCCTCCTCCTCCTCCTCTGAGCTCTCTGCCTATACCCTCCTCCTCCGAGCACACGTCTCTATCTTCCTCCTTCTCTGAGCACACTATTGTCATGTAAAACTAACAATGTTCCCCACGGCACGCCCACGGTACGCTCACGGCAGCAGCAGCAACAGCGAGTCAGCCCGACGCCCAAGCCTCCCTTGGCGGTGCCGGAGTCGATCTCCACCGACTTCGACAAGCAGGACGGAGAGGTCGACCAGCTGAGTCAGGTGAGAGAGAGGGAACCTTTCTTGTCGGAGGAGAAAAGGAAGCAGGAACAGAATGGTAGCGGTGGTAAGGAAGAGGAGGAACAGGAGGAACAGGAAGAGCCTCGCCCATGCTGTTGTTCGGTAAGTTGTTCGTATGTGTGTTTATGCTGTTTGTGCCTGCAGGTCTTAGCTCTTGGACTCTGGCTTTCCACCAGTTGGTAGTCTAATGTACAGATTAGTGGCCTACTTTTCTTCAGCATATCTATGGCATATTGCATCGTATCGTTCTCTCTCGCGCCCGCGTGCGCACACGCACACACACACACACACACACACACACACACACACACACACACACACACACACACACACACACACACGTATAAGGCTTATGTGACAAAGAGTACTGGGAAGACTGGACACCACAAGCGTAGCTCTCATCCTGTAACTACACCTACGTAATTTCGCTTAATTATTACAGTAATTACACACACACACCAAAGAGCCGAAGCTGAACCCCCCGCAAGCACAAGTAGGTGAGTACTAGGTGAGCACGTATACACACACACACACACACACACACACACACACACACACACACACACACACACACACACAAACACACACACGAAGCTGGAAAAAGTCCAACGGTATGCCACTAGACTAGTCCCAGAACTAAGAGGCATGAGTTACGAGGAAAGGCTGCGGGAAATGCACCTTACGACACTGGAAGACAGAAGAGTAAGGAGAGACATGATCACAACCTACAAAATCCTCAGGGGAATCGACCGGGTAAACAAGGATAAACTATTCAACACTGTCGGGACGCGAACAAGGGGACACAGGTGGAAACTGAGTACCCACATGAGCCACAGGGACATTAGAAGGAACTTTTTCAGTGTCAGAGTAGTTAACGGATGGAATGCATTAGGCAGTGATGTGGTGGAGGCTGAATTCATACACAGTTTTAAATGTAGATACGATAGAGCCCAGTAGGCTCAGGAATTTGATAGATGAAATACCTCTAGAATCAGAGAGAGAGAGAGAGAGAGAGAGAGAGAGAGAGAGAGAGAGAGAGAGAGAGAGAGAGAGAGAGAGAGAGAGAGAGAGAGAGAGAGAGAGAGAGAATGACCAGGGGGGTTGATATCACGCCAGACCTGTCCCTCGAAGCCCACATCAAGAGGATAACCTCAGCGGTATATGCCAGGTTGGCCAACATAAGAACGGCCTTTAGAAACTTGTGTAAGGAATCATTCAGAACTTTGTATACCACATATGTTTCAATTCATTTAATTTCTGACATAAGAGAAGTGCAGAATGTTACAGATGGAGCTGGTCAACCTAAGAGAGACGGTCGGAGGAAGAAAGGGAAAATATTTGAATCACAAATAGACATATTAAGAGAAATATGTATACAAATATACATATACATATTTATACAAATATATTATTTGTATAGACATATATATCACTGACACATAAGAGCCTGGCGACCATTACTGTAGAACTCAGACATCTGGATAAGGAAGCTATCAGGCCAATTAACACAACCTACGTTACACCAGTACTAGATTATGAAGCCCCGTGTGGACTACCTCCACAAGAATGAACAAGCAATATTAGGCATTTACTACAAGACTGATCCATGAAGAGAGACTCTCAGGAAACAACACCTCACAAACTGGAAAAAGAGAATGATAAGAGAAGACATGATCACGACATACAAACTTGTATAATATATTGTACTAGCCATATATAAAGTGACAATTGTAAGTCACATAAAAACTTCCACTAAACAAGATGCAAGTCATACTAACAGTTGTACAAAAGCTTGCAACATACGTACTGTAAAGTCTATACAAAAGTTATTAACATCCATTACACCCAGAAATCACAATAGCGTGATGCATCAAATGAACAAATAGTCTATTAGCTCAGTCGATTAAGGCAGTGTCTGGGATGCTCTCGGACGTAGGTTCGAATCCTCGTCACGGCCCTTGTGGATTTGTTTATTAACATCCATATAACAGCTCTCACCAGCTGAGCTGTAACAGCCATTCAAAATATCCCTCCGGACGCAAGTTCTATTCCTAGTAAGGACACCGTTATGTGCTCGAACAACGAGGCTAAGATGCGGAGGCTCACCTGGGGAAAAAAAAATCCTCATACACCTGGAATTAAAAAAAAACAAGGTTTCAGGGTAAAAATTTAATCACGAAGCCGGGCCAAAGGTCCAATCAGCGGCAGCAGGGTAATAAGAGGATGTAACTTCACCACCAAGGCAGCCAAAGAAGGCACATGTGGGGCGTCCTTTTACGCCTGGGGACAGAATTAGACCGTCGGATCTGCCAACGGTTCTTTTCTCTATAGTCTGTATAGGGCAAAGCTGGTTCCTCTGCCTCACTGGTCTTGTACTCGCGTGACTCTGGTATTTACAGTGATCTCAAGACGTCCAAAGTACTGTCAGGAATTGACGAATGTTATACAATTGAGTGGCGATGTCTTAGTTAGTTATCTCAAGTAAATGTTATTATTCAGTAAGAGGAAATGAGAAGGGTGTAGTCACGGAGAAAAGAGAAGGATGGAGGTGGACTGGGAGACGTTCAATTTACAAACAAAGTTTCTTAGACTAGAGTCTCATGTAAGTTGAAACGATTTAAGGAACTCTTATGTTCCATTTGCCTTTGTGTATATAGCAGTAATTAGGGACAACAATCAGCCTGGGAAACACAGGAATGGAAACTTACATTCCTTCCTCTAATTGGTGATGTAGAAGAAAGAAAAATATAGAGACAGAGACACAGAGAAAGACAGAAATAGACAGTTTGTGTAAGGACTAAACAAAATTGGGTTCAGGATATAGATAAATCCCAGGGTCTATGACCAAACTGAAAACAATATTATCAGCGGTATCAGGAAGCAGATAAGAAAAACATACATAAAATCGACTTGAGAATGGTCCAGGACGGACCGAAACATCGTCGTCCCTTCATCTTCTAGTGTGTGGTCTGGTCAACATACATAAAATCATTCTTGTACATTTGTGACAAGTTACAGAAGGAGCCGTGGCGCTGTGTACTGCGTGAGGTGAGTGACCGTCTTCCGGTAATGAAACAAGATGATATGTTGCAGACGAGGAGTCACAATAACGTGGCTGAAATATGTTGACCAAACCACACACTAGAAAGTGAAGGGACGACGACGTTTCGGTCCGTCCTGAACCATTCTCAAGTCGATTCGGTGAATGGTCCAGGACGGACCGAAACGTCATCGTCTCTTCACTTTCTAGTGTGTGGTCTGGTCAACAAGTTTACGTTGCAAAAGACACTTAGTAAAGATGTAATAACGGATGAAACAGTAACTCTTCAGTGTGATAGTTTCTACTACGAGTGCTCATATCTCCTAGATGACCGCCCATCATGAATACTTCCCTCCCCATGTCGCGTCCTCTCTCCTGTCCTCTACCCCTCCCATCCTCTTCTCCTTCTCTTCCTTTCATCCACGGGGCTTCTCCCGCTGCAGGCGTGGATGAGGAAGGCGCGGGTGTGGTGCGGTTCGCTGTGCAGGAGGAAGGAGGACGTGGCGGTAGAGGACGCCACACCGGAGTCTGAGGAAGAAGCTGTCATAGACGACAACTTCAATCTTCCCATCTCTCTCGCCCTCCTCATCCTCCTGGCCTACATGGTCATCGGCTGCGTCATCTACACTATGTGCGTATACTCTCTCTCTCTCTCTCTCTCTCTCTCATTTGTGTATACTGTTCCGTTTGCTTTATGTGTATGTTTAGTTCAGTTATGTTGTATGTGTGTGTCCCTTCGTTTACGTTTTCTGTAAGTTTCTTGCAATTTGCAATTCTGTTGCCAGTAAATGTTGTTTGTTTTGATGTGTGTGTGTATAATGCATGATTTCTCTCTACATATATTCTTTCCCTCTGTTTACATTTGTTTTCTTCTGTTGTCTGTGAATGTTGCTTGTATATGTTGGTTGTTTAAACTACCAGAACATTGTTTAGCTTTGTTTATACTACTTGCCCCTCATGTGGTTATTGTTTGTCTTCTTTTGTTTATGTTTAGTGCTTGATTGAATTGTTTGATTTTCATGGTGTAACTGGGTATACCTTCTGTTATTTCGCAAAACTGTTTGCCTCCTGCTGTTTCCAATCCTGCTTGTCTACTGTGCTCTCTCTCCTTTTCCATTTGTTACATACACTGTTTGATTTTTGATTGTTTACGATAAATATCTTCCTTTCCGTAGTGTTAAGGTGTACAGGCGATGAGTCACAATAACGTGGCTGAAGTATGTTTACCAGACCACACACTAGACGGTGAAGGGACGAAGACGTTTCGGTCCGTCCTGGACCATTCCCAAGTCGATTGTCACCATGACAATCGACTTGAGAATGGTCCAGGACGGACCGAAACGTCGTCGTCCCTTCATCTTCTAGTGTGTGGTCTGATCAACGTGTTAAGGTGTTGTTTAGTGTCTGTGGGTTTGTATATATTGTCTGCCTACACCCCCCCCCCCCTTCTCCCAAATAGTGCGGCACTCTGCCCTCTCTCCTGAGGCCATTCTAAACACCGATTCATCCCCAAATCATATAGCTTTGGTTAAAAAGCAAACACCTTTTTTTTCCTCCAGGTGGGAGTCTTGGACATACTTTGAGGCGTTCTACTTCATCTTCATCTCCATGACGACCATTGGGTTTGGCGATTACGTTCCTCAGGTAAGATTATGTGTTCATAGAAGTGATACTCCAGTGCTTTGTCTGCCTAAGTACAGACCTTATACGGACCTGGCCCTTGGATTATTTATTTACAGAATGATATTTTCTTAAATCCTCATGGTGTGAGTTGAGACCTCGTTAATGTTTAAGGCAAATGAGACGCAGGAAAGGACCAATGAAGTCGTCTTTAAATAACTGTCGTTGTTAACTAATATTATTATTTTTCACTTATCCAAAAAATGCTAATTGATGGTCATTAGCATTTGGCTATTGTTCCTCTTTTTTCTGAGCCATTGATATGCAAGTTATAAATGAGTTATTTACAGTTCGCAGTTTCTAATTTGTTATATATAATTTGTTTTTCTCATTTATTCCATATTTAGTTTGTCATTTATATTTATCAATTACGCTCCATAAAATACTTTTATATAACATTTCAATCTACTGAAGATTGCTAACCCAGCATATTTTTATGCACAAATAATTGAAAATGCAGTATTGCAGAAAATCTAGTATTTCAGATACATGCAATATTGCAGAAAAATAGGGTAAATAGGTGAGCACGTGTGGGCAACACTTGGTTACACTACCACGTGACCAGATGATCGCCATATTTCATTGAACAAAGTTATATTTCATTGATCTTGGGTGAATTTAATTGAACTAAACCACCATTCATCTTGAGTGAATTTCATGGAGAAATTTTTTATTTTATTGAACATCCTGCCACAGGCTGTAGTAAAAATGATAGCTAAAGGGGGATTAATTTATTCATTAACTCATTAATTCGGCGGGGATTCGAACCAAGAGCCTCTGATTCATCGTGTCGACTCAATTTGGTCAAGGAGATTCGATCCTGGGGTCGACTTTTTGCGCGAATATTTCCCAGTCGCCATAATTTCCTACTTGTCTATTTAATTAATTGTCCTACTGTTAACTAAATTTATTTTGTCTGTAATGTGATTCTTTATCTTCATTTTTCGTTATTCTAATTGGGTTCTTTTTTCATTACTTTATATTTTTTATTCAATTACTTTTTTTTATTTTAAATAAATTTTTAATAAATTTTTTTAATAAATTTGTTTGTGTAATGTATGTGTTTGATTTAGCTTCTGGGCTTGTGTGTTTTGTTTAACCTACCAGAGTAATTTTTGGAAGATTTGATTGCTTGATTTGTAATGTTGTGCATAGACCTACGTATATATTACAACTGATTATAAATAATCCGCTGTTTCCTGGCTTTTTTTTTTTAATTTGGTACCTTATCTGATTGTCTTCGATTTACATAACGTGTTACTGACATAATTGAGTGATGTTTGATTGATTTGTTGCTCACTTGTTCGATTTATTCATTGCTTGCTGGGAACACACCTTCGAACACGACAGGTCGACGACGACTCTAAGGTATCTTTCTATGCAACCTGCTTGATTACTTACTTAGAATGCGCTTACTTTAACTCGAGCCTACTTAGAATGCGCTTACTTTATCTCGAGCCTACTTAGAATGCGCTTACTTTATCTCGAGCCTATCTTATTTTTCCACAATTTCGAGCACGCAATATTCACTCCCACCTCCCCCCCCCCCCAAAACGACGGCTGGGGAGGCCTAGCGAGCCTAAAGGGGAGATAGGTAGGTAGGTAGGCCTACCTACCCCTAAAACAGTGCTAGCGTTGCTTCCTTCTCTATATATCCCGCTTGTTTGGCACTCTTATGAAGGGGTGGTGTAAGGGTCAGTCTGGGTTGATATGAGTGCCATTACGTCCACACTGGGGCACCGTACCATCCACACTAGGCACCGTACCATCCACACTAGGCACCGTACCATCCACAGTGGGCACCGTACCATCCACACTGGGCACCGTACCATCCACACTGGGCACCGTACCATCCACAGTGGGCACTGTACCATCCACAGTGGGCACCGTACCATCCACACTGGGCACCGTACCATCCACACTGGGCACTGTACCATCCACACTGGGCACCGTACCATCCACAGTGGGCACCGTACCATCCACAGTGGGCACCGTACCATCCACACTGGGCACCGTACCATCCACACTGGGCACCGTACCATCCACACTGGGCACTGTACCATCCACAGTGGGCACTGTACCATCCACAGTGGGCACTGTACCATCCACACTGGGCACTGTACCATCCACACTGGGCACCGTACCATCCACACTGGGCACCGTACCATCCACCTTCTCTACCCCACCTGTATAACCTATCCCTCCCCCCCCCCCTGAATAATTTGTATAATTTTCATAAAAATTTCGATAAAAATAATTAGCATAATTTTGATAGTTGGTCTCTAGTTCACTTGTTCATTCTGTAGTTCTCTAGTTCACTTGTTCATTCTGTAGTTCTCTAGTTGGTCTCTAGCTCCCTAATTTGCATTTGAAACTTCTGATTTGCTGTCGCGTTTGCTTATATGTCTTAAGCTTGTGCTGGAGTCCCCTCACAGCTCCTTAACCCGTTCTCTAGTAAGTAGTTCATTCTCTAGTTTGCTTTCTCGTCATATACCTCACTGAGCCGCATGCGCTCTAGTTAATGTTCTAGCTTCTTCTAGTTGCATATGTTCTAGCTGATCTCTAGAAACCCTTCTGCGTGAAGATGTAGTAGAAACCATACAAGGAAATATAAAAGTTAGTTGTAGGTTCGGTTTCTATATGAAGCTTTCTAAAGCTATGGATTCTAGATATTTAGCTTGTTCTTTGAGTTATTTGTTCAGTGGCGTTCTGTCTCGCTATCCGGCTCACTTTCTATCTCGCTATCCGGCTCACTTTCTATCTCGCTATCCGGTTCACGTTCTGTCTCGCTATCCGGCTCACTTTCTATCTCGCTATCCGGCTCACTTTCTATCTCGCTATCCGGCTCACTTTCTATCTTGATATCCGGCTCACGTTCTATCTCGCTATCCGGCTCACTTTCTATCTTGATATCCGGCTCACGTTCTATCTCGCTATCCGGCTCACGTTCTATCCCGCTATCCGGCTCACATTCCATCTCGCTATCCGGCTCACGTTCTATCTCGCTATCCGGCTCACTTTTTATCTCTTTACCTCACTGTTTCGCTCTCTTATTAGAGCTGGATGTGGCTCTGCAGGAAAACTCTGTAGCAGTGCTACTGACAGAGGTTCATCCTGGCTGTTGTTGTGTGCATAATGCATGGGCTTCACGCTTCAGCTGCTGTCGTGTTCGCTGTGTCTACATCTTCAGCCTTCACTCTGTCACTCTAGCTCGAGGGACAGAGTGAAGGGTCTTAAGGCTTTCAGGCTCTCAAGCTCACTCTAATAAGTTTTCAGTCTCTCTCTCTCTCTGTGGTGATCCCTCTGTAGTCACAGGTCAGGGAGTAGTGATCAATCTATAGTCACTGGTCAGGGAGTGGTGATCACTCTGTAGTCACATGTCAGGGAGTGGTGATCAATCTATAGTCACAGGTCAGGGAGTAGTGATCAATCTATAGTCACAGGTCAGGGAGTGGTGATCAATCTATAGTCACTGGTCAGGGAGTGGTGATCAATCTATAGTCACAGGTCAGGGAGTAGTGATCAATCTATAGTCACATGTCAGGGAGTGGTGATCAATCTATAGCCACAGGTCAGGGAGTAGTGATCAATCTATAGTCACAGGTCAGGGAGTAGTGATCACTCTGTAGTCACAGGTCAGGGAGTGGGTCAACAGTCTGTAGTCGCAGGTGTGTCAAGAAAATCAATTAAGTTTCAGCAAAATCCCAAACGCCAGTAAACAAAGTGTTTACCATGAAGCAATCAGAGAGGTATTTACTGCTAACATAACAATTCATTAAACTAATTAAATTAATTAAAACAAAATTACGTTTAAAAAACAAGAAACCTTTTTCCAAGAAAAGTTAAAAAAACGAGAAACGTTTACAAAGAAACATATAACCAATAAAAGTTTTCAATGAAACAAAAAAAGAAACGTTTACAAAGAAACATTTAACCAATAAAAGTTTTCAATGAAACAAAAAAAGAAACTTTTACAAAGAAACATTTAACCAATAAACGTTCTCAAAGAAACACAAAAGCAAGAAACGTTTACAAAGAAACAAACAAACAAGACCCACTCACCCAGAAACGTTTAACATACAAGAAACTATCACAACGTATCATTCAAAAACAAGAAACTTACATAAAACATGAAACGTTCATCACGATACCTTAAATAACCAAGAAACGTTCGCAATAAAAGTTAAAAAAGACACTAAAAGACGAACGTTTAATAAACAAGGAACGTTTACTAAAAAAGTGTAATAAAAAGGGAAAGTTTATCATGAATCGTTTTATAAACTAGAAACGTTCACATAGCAAGGTTTCATGTACAAAAAAAATTCACAAAATATGTTGACCAGACCACACACTAGAAATTGAAGGGACGACGACGTTTCGGTCCGTCCTGGACCATTCTCAAGTCGATTGTGAATACTGCGTCGTCGTCGTCCCTTCAATTTCTAGTGTGTGGTCTGGTCAACATACTTCAGCCACGTTATTGTGACTCATCGCCTTCACAAAATATCTTTAATAAACAAGAAACTATCACTTAAAAACGTTCAATAAACAACAAACGTTTAACAACAAACGTTCACTGAGAAAAGTTTAGCAAGGAACGTTACATAAACTAGAGACGTCCAGCAAGAATAATGAACAAAAACATTACCAAACGTTTAATAAGAAAAGTTCATAAAAAACGTTCAATAAACAAGAAACGTTCATCAAGAAGCATTAAATAAACAAATACTTCCCAAAGATGATTAAGGTGGACCATGGGATTATGAAAATGACCCCTAGGATGATTACAATGACTCCCTAATGATGATAATGACCTCTCGAATGATTATAATGACCCTTTGGATCATAATGACTCCCTGATTATGATAATACCCCCTGGAATTAGTATAATGATTCCTGAGATGGTTATAATGACCCCCTGATAATGAAAATGCCCCTTGGATAATTATAATAACCCCCTTGATGATGATGATGATGATGATACATTTGGGATGATTATGATGACCTGTGATGATGATAATGACCTTTGGGATGTTCTTCCTTCACAGCATCCAGCCTTCATGATGATGACGACTGTCTACCTGGTGTTCGGGCTCGCTCTCACCGCTATGTGCATCAACATCATCCAGGTGGGTGGTGTGGAGCCAGCTGGCGTCCAGGTGGGTGGTGTGGAGCCAGCTGGCGTCCAGGTTGGGTGGTGTGGAGCCAGCTGGCATCCAGGTTGGGTGGTGTGGAGCCAGCTGGCGTCCAGGTGGGTGGTGTGGAGCCAGCTGGCGTCCAGGTTGGGTGGTGTGGAGCCAGCTGGCGTCCAGGTTGGGTGGTGTGGAGCCAGCTGGCATCCAGGTTGGGTGGTGTGGAGCCAGCTGGCATCCAGGTTGGATGGTGTGGAGCCAGCTGGCGTCCAGGTTGGGTGGTGTGGAGCCAGCTGGCGTCCAGGTTGGGTGGTGTGGAGCCAGCTGGCATCCAGGTTGGGTGGTGTGGAGCCAGGTGGCGTCCAGGGTGGGTGGTGTGGAGCCAGCTGGCATCCAGGTTGGGTGGTGTGGAGCCAACTGGCATCCAGGGTGGGTGGTGTGGAGCCAGCTGGCATCCAGGTTGGATGGTGTGGAGCCAACTGGCATCCAGGGTGGGTGGTGTGGCGCCAGCTGGCATCCAGGTTGGGTGGTGTGGAGCCAGCTGGCGTCCAGGTTGGATGGTGTGGAGCCAACTGGCGTCCAGGTTGGATGGTGTGGAGCCAACTGGCATCCAGGGTGGGTGGTGTGGAGCCAGCTGGCATCCAGGTTGGGTGGTGTGGAGCCAGCTGGCATCCAGGTTGGGTAGTGTGGAGCCAGCTGGCATCCAGTTTCATTACGTACACGAAAGTCCCTCCAACTGTCGCGAAAACCCCGTTTTCTGTCACAACCTTGGTTTTCTCTGATAAGTTTAGTATCACTGCTATCTTATTCAGTCTTGTATTCATGATGATATCCTCATAATGCACGCAAAGTTTACCAGTTCAGACTACTAATTCACATGCCTCTGTATGACTAACCATCCTGTATGATTCGAATTTTTAGCATCACGTAGCTAGATTTTTTTTTTGACACAATACTCCCCTTTCATATAGTTTAGGGGGTAGCTAGACAGATGAAGATGTATCTCAATGTTTTAATATTTCTCTGACAGGAGAAGCTGTCAGACACCTTCCGTCACGCGAGCGAGAAGCTGAAAGATTCCTTAGGTCACATCATGGCGGCTGCCACTCAAGGAGAGGAGGGCGCCCTACAGGAAGGCAAAGAGGTGGAAGTAGCGGAAGTCCACGGTGGCAACATCCAGACGCCCACCATCACAGTCAAGAAAGAAACATAGCTTGCCACTACACATGTTTACAAGTTGCTAAATTGTAGCGCAGCTGTGTTGTGTTTACAAGTTGCTAAATTGTAGCGCAGCTGTGTTGTGTTTACAAGTTGCTAAATTGTAGCACAGCTGTGTTGTGTTTGCAAGTTGCTAAATTGTAGCACAGCTGCGTTGTGTTTACAAGTTGCTAAATTGTAGCGCAGCTGTGTTGTGTTTACAAGTTGCTAAATTGTGACACAGCTGTGTTGTGTTTACAAGTTGCTAAATTGTGACACAGCTGTGTTGTGTTTACAAGTTGCTAAATTGTAGCGCAGCTGTGTTGTGTTTACAAGTTGCTAAATTGTAGCACAGCTGCGTTGTGTTTACAAGTTGCTAAATTGTAGCGCAGCTGTGTTGTGTTTACAAGTTGCTAAATTGTGACACAGCTGTGTTGTGTTTACAAGTTGCTAAATTGTAGCGCAGCTGTGTTGTGTTTACAAGTTGCTAAATTGTAGCGCAGCTGTGTTGTGTTTACAAGTTGCTAAATTGTAGCGCAGCTGTGTTGTGTTTACAAGTTGCTAAATTGTAGCGCAGCTGTGTTGTGTTTACAAGTTGCTAAATTGTGACACAGCTGTCTTTACAGCTGTGCTCTCGTGATAATATCTGACAAAAACGAAAAAAGCTTGACAGAACGGTCATCTTTTACGAAGCTAATCCAGCATTAGTGGTCCAAAGAAAATTGTCAAAACTGTGATTTATGGAACCAGGATTAAAGTTTGTGTTGTGTGTTTATGTTGAGGAAACACTGGAGAGAAGCCGAGTGTGTCAACACATAGTTGCCTGAGGTCTCTCCCTAGTGTGAATAAACCTTGCATGGAATGTGTTGATCCCATTTGTACTTAGAGAAACAGTTAGTGCAGATCAATTTGACTGTACGAAGAGCTACATTCAGTGATAACAGATCAAATTTGGAATAAAATCCAAAGATTTTGCATAATCTTGGCTTGCGTTATTTTTTATCTCACTTATTTGTTATTCGTAAGTGTTGTATATTATAATACATAATTACCTTTTAGCCAATAACTATCATCGGTCATTCTAGTAGACCGACAATGAATCTCAATATGTCACTCCTCGGAAATGTCTTAAAAACCAACAAACACCTGAGACTTACCCTATAGGATTACGCAGAGTAACAAGGCTGGCGAGATGCCAGACACAACAACCCGAGAAACACTTTGCTGACCAGTTGTTTTTGTTTCGCGGGAATAATGAAAAACGTTTATAAAGCTGAAGAGATTAGTGAGCTTAGCACGCCACGGTGCAGTTGCTCGGATGAGCTGAGTCTCCGGGGTAATGTTTCCACAGAAACAATGCGACATACGTAGTTAATCTGTCCTACAATTCTGCTAAAAGAATGACAATTTTCTGAATTAAACATAAAGCAGCCAGAGAGTAGACCGATCAGACACTGCCGAAGAATCACAGAACGACAGTGGTCCACTTTAGAGAGTTCCAGTGTACCGAAGATATATAGAAGGCTGTCACTGGCCCAGTTATAATAAACGTCAGGGAATAACAGAGAGCCTAATTAGCGATCGGTAAAATACATTAAATTAGGAAAGACCCCCCCCCCACATTAGAAACGTCCAAATTAGCATCTACGCAATTTAGACCCGCCGGAGTGACCCCTAAATTGAAAACAACCTAATTAGGAGCTCAAGTGAGCACACTAGAGAAGAGTGGATGGTGACCCACAGACTTGAGTGCACGCTGTGGATGGTGACCCACAGACTCTCAAGGGGCCCAGTTTGAGACCACAGGCATATCATTAGTGTTCACGAAAGCCACATTTCTCGAGACTAATCTCATGACAAACTTTTTTTCTAAATAGAGGTGTAAGTAATTTTACGATTACGCTCAAGAATAGTTTAAGCCAGCGCTGTTTATTACAATTATTGTTGATTTATGTTATGGTAACTTGTTGATATCAAATAGCCTTGTTGCGTGCTTTTCCATATAACATTAATTAAGACTTTTGTAAGAAAGAATGGTAATATGTTACTGCAGTGAAACTTGCGAGTTGAATCCCAACATAACTTATTTGTTCAGAAGTTACCTAAAAGGTATTTGGCAGTATTTTCCCTTTAAATGTTTAGATAAGATACTCTCTGATTAAATAATATTATTACATGAAATTAGCGAGCGAATAAATTAGCTTAATTGTACTGATGTACCCAAGAACCTGAGCCCAAACAGAGTGGAGAAGTTGGGTGGTACTCAAACCCAATTTTACCAGACAACACCCCCCCCCCCCGACAAACACACACACACACACACACACATCATCGTTAGGCAGTGATGTGGTGGAGGCTGACTCCATACAGTTTCAAGTGTAGATATGACAGAGCCCAATAGGCTCAGGAACCTGTACACCTGTTGATTGACGGTTGAGAGGCGGGACCAAAGAGCCAGAGCTCAACCCCCGCAAGCACAATTAGGTGAGTACACACACAAACACACATATATGAAGGTGCCATCAAAAACTTACACACAGGTTATCAGTCTCTTATGGTGCTCACAAATGCAACATTATCTGTTCTGAATAAAAAAAAAGACCGAAGAAATGTTAATGTAACTTTTATGTATGTTTAAGGAATTCGGCCGTTGTACTCGTCAGTTATAACAGAAAAAAAAGACCTAAACATACCAATATTACAGTAGAGAGTCGTCAGTATGAATAACCTACCATGCGAGTGTGAAATAAAGGTTCAGGCGTTCTAGTAAGAGGCGTTCTTCTCCCGTTATGGATTAAAACTCAAGCTTTAAATCGTCTGTAATCGTTTTAGTCTTAAATCCAAGACTTCTAATTCAGTAATTTGTCCAAAAGTTATTCTCGCAATCTCAAAGATTGTTTTCTTAGTCAAACTAAGAGGTCTTGCAGTCTTTACGAAAAAAAACATTATCCTCATCATGCATATACTTCAGATGGCATCTCGCCTCTAATTTGTCTAAAGTGCAGTATATATGTACTAGGTTGTGAAAACTGTAGTTAATAATTCTGCACAATGCTGAGCAACTTTTATGTAAAAGCGTCTGCCAACACACCAAAGTTATATAATAATAATAATAATAATAATAATAATAATCAATCCTGGAAGTTCTATCAGAAAGATCAATCTAAAAGCTATGATTGTAATATCAATTGGAAACTCGCCGTCTTCTGAATGGTATTCGAGTTACCAAACCATTTTGATGATTATATCCCGCCAAACACACACCGAAACTACGACGTTAGTACAACGTTCGAACAAGTTTTAACACCTAACCAGTTATAAGAACCAATATAGCAAGTTGTAACAACGTTCTAATACGTCATAAACACGTTAAGCCAAGATGTAACAACTTTATTACAAGTTGTAACAAGCGGAAAAGAGACAGTTTCGGTTTGTGTTTCCAGGGATCATTATATAATATAAAGAGCCTAAATTCACATTACCTATAACAGTGTGAAGGATACTGCACCCGGAGCCGTTCGTTACGTTGCCTCATGTTCTGTTACCAAAGAAATGGAAGTTATTAATTATAAAGCCAATAAACATTAATAATACAGATACGAATAAAAATGATTCAAATAAAAGGTCTCAATCATCCAAAAAAATTGATAAACAAAAAATCAACTTGGTACATCTGAGAGAAAGTACCACAGCTTGGTACTTCCTCGAAGAAGTACCATGCTGCAGACGTAGGACAAGTGTCAGAAGGTGATCCAGATACACTGTACTTTATTTCATATACATTTAAGTTTCTTATGCGTGTGAGACAGGCAGCCACGGGGGGCGCCAACCTCAGAATCCACGCCACTGACAACAGCCTCCAAATTAAGAGGCTTTATTGAAATTAAAAACGATCCAATTTGTACGTTTCCTCTCACTACTGGTCATCGTCTTCGATAGGTCAAGTGGATTAGTCTTGGTTCGTAACGCTTAATGTTTGGTAAAAAAAAAATCAAATTAGATGGTTGTTAAATCATGAACAAGAGGCTACACCTATTTGGGTTTTTTATCCCAAAACCCGTGCTACACGGCAAGGGTTTTTATTTTGACACGTACAACAGCAAATGTTTTCCCTAAGCAGAAGGGTACGAGCCCAAAAGACCCAAGCAACGAACTAATCGAGGCTGATGCCTAGTCTGCAAGCATATACGTCCCGTTCTTAAACGGATTATTCGAATCCGTGAAAAAACGCGATGATTAGCGAGAGGACGAGTTGCTCAGTAAAACGTGGCAAGATTGCGCATTCGAGAACGCCTCGGAGTTCACTTCCTGAACTGATTATGTGCCTCTGTAACCCTTTCCACCAGAACGCACAAGGATGGGTATCGGGTGCCTAATGAAGAACCGAAATGAAAAAAGAACGCCTCAACTGATCACCCGCAGTATACCAATGCTGGCGATACGTGTAAACTTCTCTCTGTACAGTATACCCACAAGTTACATTCACGCTAGTTTACTTACAGTAGCGGCTGTTGTTAGTTAAGCTCTTGTTATGCATATTGAATGTTAGTTCATAGTAAAACACTTACTTCGGGTATTTTCTTTAACATTTGTGGCTAATATTAATTTAGTGCTGAGTGTGAAGGAGTCACGCTCACGGCTGTGAGAGACCACTACCACAACGTCTTGTAAACAATAACTCATCATTAAGATCTGGTGCTTTTCTACTCATTAACTACTAAGGCATATCTTGGGGTAATACAAAAAAAACATGTTCTGGGGTAGTATTAAGTTAGCTTTTTCACATGTTACTTGTTCTTTGTGTAATCAAATGTTCTTCACTGGATCGTGAGGAACGTGTTGTGTGTTTACGATGATTTAAGTAATTATGATATTAGGAAGAGTTGAGTAATTATTAGTTAAGGATGAGTTGGAGCCAGTGTTGAAGCGGCTGTGTGTTTGTTATGGGAATCTTTGTAACCTAAGGTAGTCATTTACACGTATGTTCAGTATTATCAAATATATCTTGTTAACAATTTGCCTTACTCGGTGCTTTAAGATTTAACAGACAAAATGGTGGAATGTGCAGAAGAGTCGTCGCACAAACAGCGATACAAACATGTGATTGTGGGTAACTGAAACACCGTTATTGTTGTTGTTGTTGTTTTAGATTCAGCCTCTCGGAACAAAAGTTTCAAGTAGCACGGGCTATGGTGAGCCCGTAGAACCCTTTACCACACCATAGCATAAAAGCCACGGTGTTTTTCACACTTCACATCATACTTCACTCACAGTTACTGTTCTCCTAGATCTTGAGGTGGGAACAGTTAGGACAGTAATGTCACTGTAGCCTCACCTCGTCACTGTAACCGTGTTTCAGACTTGGCCAAGGTACCTGGGAAGCCACCCACCCCCCCACCCCCCCGCACCTGTGGGAATTTGCATTCAATATGCAATCCCAAATATATTTGGTTCAATTCAAAAACTATTTTATGCATGACACCAGTGTTGATATTTAAGGTGATTATTTCTTGGCAACACTCTATAAGGTTTGTGTAATATATGTCTCCTGGTGTGGCAGAGGTTACCTGGTGTGGCAGAGGTTACCTAGTGTGGCAGTCACCTTGTGTGACAGTGGTCACGTATTGTGGTAGAATTCTCCTGGCATGACAGAAGTCACCTAGAGTGGCAGAAGTCCCCGGATGCAGGAAATCATGTGCACTAGAGCCGGAAGCGTACAGCCGGCAACACTGCCCGTACCGATGGTCAAACACACTGATAACTTGGTTGTGTGACGAGGCTGTTTATAAGCCAATTTGTACCTTAAGTCCAGAACCTGTTACATTATTCACAGAATCTTTCCTACACCATAATTACTAATGCACAGTGGCCGTAAGGCTCAGATATCGTTAGCAAAGTAGGAGTTAGAAATGGTCAATATACAGGTATTTTATGATAAAAAAGTTACTTTTCTATGGGCTAGATTTAGTGAACTGCAGCATTATCTTTTAAAGCAGAGGTTCTTAACCCCTTTTTAATGGTTGCAGATCCCAATGAATTTCCCATTATTACATCAATTACGGCCCCCCCCCCTTTCGTCAGACTGTTAGCATCACCACTACATGGTGTGGTGATGTCAGTCACACCAGGTGGTGATGTAGTGACCTTTTAGGTAATCAGTATGACATCAAAAAGTGTCAAGTGCTTGGTTTTTACTTTACATCTGAAGGGTTAGGAACAGAGAAAACGGGAAATCACAAATCCACACGCTAGCTACGACTAGTGAGCCGAAAATTGCTGTTTTGCTCCCTTGCCGCTGTTTTTTGTGCAATCAAAACATGGAATCGTGTGAGATAAATATGCCGATTGTTTGGTTCCCACTCCCACATGGGGCATGACAATCCCCGCTTAAGAGCCCCTGTTTTAAACATAGATCATCGCAAGCAGTAGTCCATGTGTAAATGTTAAATTGTGCTTTATGACGGCATAAAGGAATTGGGACGTCACTCGCAGGTATTTGAGTGTACTGGGAGTGGACTGTATTTTGCAGGAATTGCTGCACATGATAAGTAATAGGGACGGTGATGCAGTTGCTGCGTGTGTTGGTAACCCATACCCCCCCTTATACCCTCCCACCCACCCCTCCCAGCCCAGTCATTATGTGTTTACATACACACAGGATTCACAATAGCGTGATATATCACATGAACAAATCCACAAGGGCCGTGTGATGAGGTTCGAACCCTCATCACACGGCCCTTGTGGATTTGTTTATGTGTTTACATCGTTGTTGCCGCTACCCGACATACTCGCCCACATATCCAGCCCACTCCACCACATGCATGTCCACCAATACCACCCATACCGGGCTGCCCATTCCCACCCACCTACTCAACCATGCCTTGTACACAGACACAACACCACCTCCCACATATAACCCTGCCATGTACACTTACAATACACACACACACACTCAGTTCTTATACAAATACACCATACATACCCATACACTCAAGCCTTGTACACTTAAAACTAGACAGAGCCACACAACCCGACAAAATACATGTATATTCAGTTTAAAGGATAGCACAGTTGGCTTCGTTCTCGACTTACAATCGAGGATCCTAAGTTCGATCCTCGGGAGGGACAGAAATGAATGGGCACGTTTCCTTTCACCTCATTGCCCCTGTTCACCTAGCGGTAATTAGGTACCCGGGAGTTAGGCAACTGTTGTGGTGTTGCATCCTGGGGAGGGTCAGTAGTTTGACCTTTGAAGGGAGGGAGGGAGGGAGGGGGGGGAGGAAGGGACCTCGATATAAACCTAACATGCACCGCTCACCCATATATCTCCACCTAACTAGATCTTGTACGCAAGCATCACCTATTCATCCAATCACCATGCCCAGCCTCCTTCCCATCCCCCCCCCCATGCCTGTCCATAATCTTTACACCCTCCCCACCTTGCCAATCTGTCCTTCCTCTCCTACCTTCCAGTCCCTTCCTCTTCCCCATCTCTCCTCCCCTCCTCTTCCCCATCTCTCCTCCCCCTCTCTCTCTCCCACCACCTCACCACCCACATATTTAACATGTACGTCCACACGCACCCCGGGACCTCGTTGGTGGTCCCGGAATCTTATAAAACTTCACGAATAAATCAAACGTCTTAATTTTGTGTTTCATTGTATTTGATTTATGTATCCTCTTATAACCTCTTAAACCTTCTCACGTTCAGACTTGTCTGTGAACTTTACTGAGGGGTGTCAGGTAAAGGTTACTATTTGGTCTAGGCCTATTAGAACACGTTTTACGACAAATGTCCTTGTGGGTTACGAAAACTTGGATTGCTTCTTGATGTCTTAATTTAAGCAGCACTGGCTTTGGCGACCAGCGGCCTCCAGGGACGTCTGGCTTCAGACCAAAGAAGAAAAACTCAAGAAACCAGTTAGATATTGTTTCTAGTTTAACAAGTGATATTTAACAGCCTATGCCATTTGTTTAAATTACAACATATAAATCATGTTAAAACGGCCAAATAATAATAATAAATTATTAACTAGAAACATGTTAATGAAAACGACGACTCCACCTAAATCCCTCTTTCCTCCTCTACGCTCAATACCATCCCCCACTTATCTTCCCGAGTCACTAACCACTTCACGAAAGTTGCTCCTCTGACGTCAACTCTGCCCGGTTTTTGTCCCGCCCTGCGCGTCAAGACCAGAGGATAACCTTGCATGCCTCCGCGACTGGACTCCAGCCAGCACTGTGTGTCCACTGTCCAGAACCCTTCCCAAACAGGTGGCTCTTGCCTACTGTCCAAGATCCTTCCCAAACAGGTGGCTCTTGCCTACTGTCCAAGACCCTTCTCAAACAGGTGGCTCTTGCCTACTGTCCAGGACCCTTCCCCAAACAGGTGGCTCTTGCCTACTGTCCAAGACCCTTCCCAAACAGGTGGGAAGCCTTCAGCTCTAGGTGTCTTCAACACCGAGTTGCCTAATTCACTAAACTATAAATGTGATGAGGACCCTAGGAGTCCCTTAAAGTGTTAAATCATTGAGGAGATTCCAACGATCAACGTGGAGCAGGACCAGGTGAGGCTAGTCTGAGAAGAGACCCTCAAGGACTCTAACTCGACCTTGCTCCCAGGCCCTGTACGGTTGCTCTCGTATTTTCTATTCTGCTAATTCCGACAGTTGCGTGAAGCGTCTGCCACATGTACATTGGCGACGTACGCCTTGCAGTCGTGAAAGCAAAAAAGAAAACCCCCACACTCAAACTAAACATAGAAAAAGACCTACTGTATTTTATTTGAAAGTAAATCATCAAACCAAATTCAACTTCAGATAAACAATGTTAACATCATCAATAAAAATGATGGAAAGTTCCTTGGCCTATAATTAGACAAGAGACTGTACTTCAGCACCCATATACAACATAGACAAAAGTGTCTCAAAAACTGTCGGTAAACTCTCTAAAATCAAATATTATGTTGCCCACTCTGCTCTCCTCTCGTTACACTATGCGCTAATCTATCCCTATCCTATCTTACATGTGGTATCTGTGCATGGGGTTCAACAACTGCAAATTACCTCAAGCCCATCATCACCAGCAAAAATCTGCTATTCGAACTATAACAAACTCTGCCTTCAGACAACACATAGCCCCTCTGTTTAAATTCCTAAACATGCTAAACATACACTCACTCCACACATTCTCGTGTTATTTAATTAGTGGCCTATAATTAGTGGCTTATAATTAGTGGTCTATAATTTGATTTGATTTGATTTACATGTACAAAAACCTTGTACCCTTATACATAGGTACATGTACAAAACCTTGTACATGTAAATATGCAAGATTTTGTACATTTGCTAATCCTGATCTGAAACTCTTCCTCGATAGGTGTAATAGAACCCATGATCACCACACCAGAAATAAATATATCTTTGATATCTCCAGAGTCAAAACTTAATCTGTGCAAACACTCCATGCAAATAAAAGGACCTAGTCTATAGAACTCGCTCCCTAATGAATTAAAAAATTGTCCAACCTATACCTTACTCAAAAGTAAAACAAAAAAGTATCTAATTTCTTCCTCATAGTTTCTTACCTTGTGCTTCAAACTCACACTGTATCTTCTGCTACCCACTCCCCCAATATTAATATTTAAGACATGTAACTTCATGGGTATAATCATTTCCGTCAATTTATATTGAAGTTATATGTATGAAAACAAATTTTACTACAATGTACCTATTCCTCTTACCTGATCTGTTAGATTAAGGACCTGTCCGGAATGCTATGCATGTTAGTGGCTTTGCAAGAATGTAAAAACACCAATGTTATGTACTTTTACAAACCCAATGTCCCTTCTTGTAAATAAATAAATAAATAAATTATAAATAATAAATGAACAAGGGTAACAGTACAGTAGCGCTAGACTAACCCAGACCTAGATTCATTAATCGTGTTTACTCCTATTTGGCCGTAATTTGATGGAAATAAACTCATTTAATTAGAAAAATAAGACAAATAGGTGATGTCCCATCGATGGGAGCACCGCTGCAACAAATATTGAAGTTGATTACATATTCGTTAATAATACTTAATGTTTTATATGCCATCTGAATGACATAAAATATTAACGTTATTGTGACTACATTTCAAGAAATATAACTCACGTATGAGCAAAGATGTTGTTAAGCATCGCCGGTGTTCAGACACTGGGCCCACCATAGTCACTAGTCTACAGACGGACAAACAGCCGATTGGTCACTTCTACAGCTGAGCTGGTAACGTGATTGGCTAAACAGTAAGATTACCTTCTCTCTGATTGGCCATATGAAAGACACCAGTGACATCTATCGAGAATTAGGTGAAACAATTAAAATTGCTAATTACCCAAAATCACCTTATTGAATCATGCGTAGAGGGTCTTCTGAGAGACTTCTTAATAACCTTGTAAAACATTTATAAATTGAAACTAAATTGAGATTCAGTTTCTACTTTTTTTTTAAATTAAATACTCTTTATTTCTATTTCACGTAAGTAGAAATACATGACGCTTCGTGAATCTAGGGCCAGGTGCACATAAAATAACAAAATACCCTCACAAACTTTTTAAACAAAAATAATAATAATAATAATATTTTTGTATTATTAAAATGCATTTCCTCGCCAAGGGAATAAAATAAATAAAATCGGCGTACCATGTTGTAGCAGAGTGGAGCACGCTTTCTTATAGGTAGTGTGAACTCTAGGGGTGTGAAATCTAGGTGGTGTGAACTCTAGGTGGTGTGAACTCTAGGTGATGTAAACTCTAGGTGGTGTGAACTCTAGGTGGTGTGAACTCTAGGTGATGTAAACTCTAGGTGGTGTGAACTCTAGGTGGTGTGAACTCTAGGTGGTATGAACGCTTGTGTGTAGCTGAAAGGGCTTCTTGAAAGTCAGTCTGTCCCGAGCCGCGCGAGAACGCCTAGCTCCATGAAATACGAATGTCTTTGCTGAATGTTCGTTAATTAAAGTGATTTTATCACAACGGCAGGACGACTAAACACACGCATAGTTGGTTCACTGCATCATGTGTGTGCATATTATATAACTATTTAGCATAAGTTACATCAAGGTGAAAAAAACATTTGCTTGGTCCACTGCAGTTTTTACGTAGACACTAGACAGCGCCATCACTTCTCACTCATCAACCAAGCGCATGATGATGTTATTTATTGATTTATTTATACACAAGAAGGTATATACATTGGGTTGTGAAAGGTATATACATTGGAGTTTGAGTTACATTCTTGTAGAGACACTAACAAGCATGACATAATATCTGACCATCCTGCCGGCCTCAATGGTCAACAACACGTCTACACTTCACTTGTCTCTCCATCACACTGTAAGGTATTTTTGCCACTTTTGTTTTATCTGGCGCTAACCTATAGTGCAATATTTGCTTCAAACACCGGCATTTGGCCTCCTTCGTGGCGTTACTAAGCCACAAACACACAAATTAAGACCGAGCCTTGATTAAGGCTGCCATACCTCCGAATTTTCCGCTCTGGATGTCAACATTTGCGTCCGGGAAGAATTTTAAACAAATTCTCCAAAAGTCTGGAGAAAAGTCCAACTTCCATCACTTAAAAAACAAAATTCTCTTTATATATATAGTTACCAGGTCCCCAAAATGTGTAGTGTGTAATGAGAGACCTTCGTATAGTTTTCAGTGTTGCCTACTTGGCCGGTTTATTGCTGGTTGAGCGCTTTAATTTTATAATTAGTGCTGTTGTAGTCATATAATAAATGATAATTGCACACAATTATTGGCATTTTGTTTTTCTTGCATGTAAAGCAGTTTTTGCATTTTTCAGTAATAATCTTAGCCGCATTCGCCATATTGCTTACTTAAGAATTCACAAAATTGCCAGGCACATGAAAAATGGACCAGATACTTTGCATCGGGAGGGTTACCCCTTCATGCAAACTGCACCTATTCTCAAGAAGAAGATACTTTGCATCAAAGAATATTGAATGCCACTCAGAACTGCACACTTTTCCTTTGCTGTAGCATCCCACAGTGCAAATGTAGAGCGAATTTTCTCACTGATGCAAAGTCCGTGAACTAAGGAAAGGAACAAGTTGAGTATTGATATAATAAAGAGGAATTCTGAGTGTACACTCTGAATATACTTCTGAGATACATCTTGCAGTGATGTCTTCGCCTTTTTGGAGTCCAATACGGCATTGCTGACAAAAATTAGACCTACAGAAAATTATGCATGGGCACATCAAGTCACAGACAGAGTAGGGGAAGAAGATTGTAACTATAGACGTTCAAGATGAGATAGCCTTAGGTAAAAGTAATTACTTTGTTGTATTTTTTTTTTTCGAAGTAATTCTGTACTATGACAGTAAGCAGTTCGACCTAGGGTTCGACCTCGATACCAGCTTGTGTACAGGCTTCATGTCCCTGATAATAGGAATTATTTGCCATTTTATATACTCTTAAGAAGTTTGTATAGTTATTATATAACCAAATGCAGTTCAGGCCATTAGGAGGAAGAAAATGTGGGTGTGGAGGCAGCAAGATAACCAGTCACACTTAAGACTCCACAGAGCAACGATTGAAACCCAGATGGAAAGATGAGACAATGGATAGAATGAAGGAAGGAATTATCAGGAGAAAGCACCAAGCTATTACGACTATACGGTATAACATTTGGAAGGGGCCAGGATAAGAATTTATGATGGCGCGGGGTAAAGGACGGTCGGGGATTGAACTCTAACCTGCATGAAGCGAGACCGTTGCTCTACCGTCCAGCCCAAGTGGTTGGAAAAAGATATTAAATATATATACATACAGACACACAGGCTGCCTGTTTCTGACAAAATGAATTATTGTTACTGTATAGATTCTAAAAGCATCTTACTGGCCTTTGAAGCTATAAATCCTTACAGAAAAGCAATACAGTGTTAGGTGTTTCTTAGTTTTAGTATATGCAAAAAGTGAAGTTTAGCTGGGTACTTGGTCACCTCAGTGTAGATTGAAATGAACTAGCTATTAAGTTAGCAAAAACTGTCATTTATACATGTCCTCCTGCTCTTGAAACTTTAAACTTATTACTAGTAAAAAATTTATTGCATACTCAATGGAAACAAAGATGGCTAGATATATACAAAAATAAACTTGGCACTATTGAAGAATGTTTCCTGTTGGCCTCCTGCTTTTCATCCAAACTAGAAATGGTAAACTTAATAAGCTCACTCGCATGTTGGCCATACTAGGTTAAAATGGTAATTTGATGAAATGAAAACCTGCTCCTTCTTGCCTAAATTGTCTTCTACTTACACTTCATCACTGTATGTCCAGTTTAAAGATTACTGTGAATTTTGTTTTCCATAATTTACCCTTAAATCAAATATTATTAGGTAAACTTGTTAGTGAAACAGATTTGTCTAATATTTCACAGTTTATATCCTTCTGCAGAACTGTACCTTTTATAATAATTTACTTAGTATGTAACTTAAATACAGTATAGTAGTTCTAAACAGTACAGTAAAGCCATACTACCTTAGCACCTACAGATAACCACATAATTCTCATTATCTTGTATTTATTTTGATTGAAGTAATCATTTGTCTGATTAAACAAGCAAGATATATCTTCCTGTATCCATGTTCCTCCCATTTGTATCATCTGCAAACAGTATTTCCGCAAGTTAATTACATATAAACAAGAAAGAGCTCTTGAGCCTAGCATCCTCTTTATCTCTTATAGTCTCACCCATTTGAAACCTTTGCCATGCCCCCCATGCATGGTCCTTTAATTCTACAGGAGTCTCTTGTGTGATATCAGTCAGATGCTGTCTGGTAATGTGCCTGTCCTTTCCTGTCCTGTCTGATGTTATTTATTTTACATTTGGCATGGAGTGAATGTATCTTGCAACCGGAACGATGGTTACAATTTATTACTTATATACAAGTAAAAAACTAAAAACTATGTAAAAGTTCTCCTATCTTTAAAATGTGGATTAATAAAGCAGAAGCATATTCTTCATCAAATGTCTAAATTTTTCATTTTATTTTTATGCACAGAATATACCATAGTTTTCTGTTGCATATGTTTTTATTTCCATCAAGGGACTGTGTGTTAGCCATGCATTGTAGTCTTACTGTCGCCAGCACCACTTGCCAGTCTACTTACCTGCAAACAGGTAGGCTAATGGCGACACAATTACCTTCAACTGAGTTTGTTACCCAATTTTGATTGTCATCGTTCTTTTAGACTGAAGGTTGTGTGAGCATTTATAGACATTCAGGTGACCCTTATCTTGTAAAAATTTTAATAATTATTTTGTATTAAAGAGATCATGGATAGATAATTAATATTTCATACAATTACTATATTGTGATATAATTACGAAGGTGATTATGAAGGTGAAGGTCTGGTCAACATATAATTATGATTTTATCCTTTCACAATTTGTTATGAAGGACATTTTAATATTCTTTGATAAAGTTTTTGGGCATCTATGACAAAGGAATCTTTCCTTTAAATTACTCTGCCAGTTTGGTGCTGAAGTATAGACAAAACATCAGTTCCATCAATATAATTTTCATTAAAACAGGTAAAAATAAAATGGAAAAAATAATTCTAACACATCTACAAACAATATACTGCTTTAGAAACATTCATCTGCTTATCAAGAATGACACTACATCCATGCATAATAATTATGGAAAGTAAAAGATAAGAAGCCATTAATTCCTTTATATCAAAATAGTAGTAAATGCATACAGGCAGCTTGAGACTGTTGTGCTTGGCCGCACTCCTTGTGGGCTTAGAAACCATCAAAAACTTTAAACATGTTCGTTTGGCATATACTGTATATGCATATTATACAAGTTAGTGAATTCTTTTAACACAGGGAACATCTCTCCTCAAAATTAGAATCTACTATATATTTGTTGTATTAATTTATAGATATAAACTACTTTAATTTATTAAAAATAAAGAAATTAAATCTAATGAGAGAAGTGAAACTCACAATGAAGCTATGAGAAAAATAGATGAATTGCTAAAATAGATTACTGAATAAACAACAATAACAACAACATATAAGGCATACAAATGTGTCATACATCCTCCCATCGATGGCAAAAATATTACTACACATTTTATCCTAAGAACACACTTACAACACACACTCGAGACACATGGGGAAGGGCCACACTGTAGAGCTCCGTTACAGCAACACTTATGAGAACAATGACTGGCAAACAGTACTTAACATTCACAACAAAAATGGATCATAAATAATCTTTTCAGCAGTAAAAAAAAAATGATGACTAAATGTGTTCGATGATAACACAATGCTCCAACCACAAAAAGAAGCTTCAAGCAGTTCAGCAGTCAAAAAAATAAATTACATAAGTACTGGAGGGATGAGTAAAGATAAGAACCTTTGCTCACCAACTTGTACGCTCACAGGAGCGCCAGACAGGCTGTGGCGAACCAGATAGTTGAAAAATGGACAATATTTTGTTCTGGCCAATGTTAATTATTAATCATGCCAGACTAATAATACAGTATTATACTGTACAGTATTTAAATAATAATGTACAATTTTTGTTTTCCAGCTGTTTGTATGTTAGCATAGCAGTCATTTAATTAGCTTTGATGGAATGAACATAATTAGCAGGTAATCAAGATACTGTACAGTACTGTGAAGTATGGTTTGTTTTGAGCAGCTGTATTATTATAAAAAAAACATTAATTTGCTACTGAAACCTTCATTATCATAAACCTGTAATGTTTTTGGTATTACCTATAGAATATTAGAATTTCTAAAATCAAAAGCATAACATAATTCCCTTTGTAATGATTATTGGAATTGAAGATTTTTGGATAACTTTAATTAAATTTTTAATTTGTCAATTCTTAATGTGGAATCTATCTGACATCATTCTCTGTTTTAACAATCAAAATCAAGTCTGTTGTAAGTCTGTTATAATTGAAACGTGAAGTTAATGGTTTAAGTTTTTTCTCAACTACTGTCCTGCTTAAATTAAGGTAACAAAATGTAACTTCACAAAAGTACAGTTAACATAAAAGAGACATGGACAAAGTAAAGGTTTTTCTTTTCAAAGTGACACTCTACCTTTATGGATGATGGAGCTCTTGATAAATTAGAACCAAATGTCACAATTAATATAATAATGAAGCTTATAGAAAAGGAAAATTTTTCAAATGATAATGGTTTCCAAGGAAACAGGATCAGGGTGTGAATACTCTCAAAACACACGCACAACTTTTCCACATGTAACATACAACTTGTTGATGAATGCATGAATGTTCCCTATTCTATGGGTTTTCTGTTTGTACTTTCAGTAGAGTAACTCCTAAACTCATCTCTGTCATTCCATTACATTTTATTTCCCCCTTTTGTTCTCTGTTCATATCCAGACAAGACCTGGCAAATGATTGCAAAAAGTGATTTACCATCTTTATGCACGAGACCACCCATTAAAGAGCAGCCAGTACTTATCGTGAGCTAATTATAATAATAATATACGTATTAGTTAAAATTCATGCATCACTAAAACGTGAACAAATTATTTATACCAGTTAAACTAAAGCTTTTACGTTTAATCAAATTGTATGTGGAAACTTTGCAAATTATAAATGCAAAATATATCTTTATGCCTTTTCTACAGCAAAGATCACAGTTTATTTTTAAATTACAACATATACAAGAGTAAGCTTAGTTTTATGATGTGCAACATGTCTTATAAATTTGCCTATACTTGTCTTGATACACTTTACATCATCAAACTTATCATATCACATTTTCTGAGATTTTATTATTTTCAGAATTTTAACATACTGTATCAATTATTAAAATGCAAGACAGTCAAAGATGGTAATATCAATTTATGCAAAATTAAGTACCTGTACATTGAACTCTTTTGTCAGATTAGCTGCTTGACACCTAGGATAGACAATATCTAAGTTATTGAAAGCAAACTTGGGTGTCAGTGGCAGCTGGATCAGATTAGGGAACATACCCATTTAGGTATTTCACCGTAAATTGGTCAACCACCAGGTGACAAGAACCACTTGCCACCCTGTGTTGGAACCATTCACATTTATCAAACATATTTCAGAGTAAACAGGTATCAACAAGGAAGATTTTCTAACATTATTATAATCTTATTTAAAACACTTGCAACATTATTATTAAAGTATTTCATATTACTGTCCTCTTTGAAATACTTCAGTTCACAAAAACCATAACTGTATTGTCTCTTAACTGTTACCATGTTGGCAGGGTTCCCTCATGACTTTGGGAAAACTATGTATCTTTTGCCATAAAGAACATTGGCCAGGCATGCTTCCAGTCCTCAACTCTTTGCTTCCACCATGCATGACCTGCAGTAACTTAGCATTATAAATACAAAGTTCGTCTTCTCAAAAACTCATTTTAAATTCATCGCATGTTATAACTTTGAAACATCCATTAATTATATAACATTACGTCTGGATGACGGGTCCTGCTTATTACGTTCCTCCATTATTATCAAATTTGGCTCTAGTACACAATAGCTTATGTCATATTGTCCTTCATAAATGCTGACGGAGATCTCCAGTGTTGACGATAACGTGCTTGCCTAGTAGAGGTAACCCCCATCAGGCAGCAGACACTTCCCACATAGTATCCTTCAGAACTCGGGCTCAAGCTGGTGGGACCTTGAGGTGCGACACCAGCAGCAGCTGCAGATAGGCACTCTGCAGGGGCCGGTGACGAGAAAGAAGCATCAGAGCCTCCTCAATGGGAAACCACTCACGTTGTCGACCTGTATAGGGAAAATGTAAAAATGAACCAATCTGCAGGATCGCACTCTTAAAAAATAATATACAGTATACTGTACACACACACACACACATATATATATATATATATATATATATATATATATATATATATATATATATATATATATATATATATATATATATGTCGTACCTAGTAGCCAGAATGCACTTCTCGGCCTACTATGCATGGCCCGATTTGCCTAATAAGCCAAGTTTTCCTGAATTAATATATTTTCTCTATATTTTTTCTTATGAAATGATAAAGCTACCCATTTCATTATGTATGAGGTCAATTTTTTTTTTATTGGAGTTAAAATTAACGTAGATATATGACCGAACCTAACCAACCCTACCTAACCTAACCTATC